GAGCATCCTTTAAAATATATTGAAATACTTAGAAAACATTGTTAGACAATCAGGCAAGAATCTGAGATTTAACTTTTGTCATAGTTTATCAGTCGTGCTACTCTCCGTCCCGGCATGTAAAATCTCAGAGGCTATTTTTTAAGCCAAAAAATTGGTTGAATTGAAGAAAAAAACGATGAGCTGATACTTGCCAAGTGCACAGGCGAAGTGGTACTTGCATCACTTTCGACACAAAGAAAAATAAAAAAGAATTTGTAATAGCATTGGGAACTTGTGTGTGAAAACAAAATTGAGGAAAACTGTTTTGAAAAAAATGACGAGATCAAAAAATCTATTTCATTTTATTGAAAGCTGCAGAAGAAATCATCAAGTATTCTTTCTACCTTCAGAATAGCATCCTTGCTCAAAAAATTCAAAAAAACATTCCCTCAACAATCCCATGCTCTTAATTATCTTAACCAGCAGGAGTATGTTGAAAACATATATCTTTTGAAAACTTCAGACCATCAACTCTTCCCCTGGGTGACCTAGTGAGCTTCCATGGATGTGTCAAGTGTACCGATCCTTCCGATCCCGCATGCAGTAAGTAGTCATTTCTGTTTTCAGATTCCAGAACTAATTTTAAAAATTTTTAAAATCATACATTCTAAAACGTGTCAGAAATCAAATTTACATTTTGAATTGATTTTCTACGCGTAGCCTCCTAACATAGTTGAGAATTTCGTGGTCAAACCCGCTCTTTTCTTTGCATTGGAGCAGCTGATGAAAATTTTATTTAATATTTAAAAAAATCAAGTTTCAGTTACTTATCGAATTGCATTATTGCGCGATTTTAGTAAAAATTCTCGAATTTTTTATTATGCTTGCGATAACCTAGAAGAATGCAGCCGGGATCAAACTTTTTTCCCATTACAACACTTTATCCACAGGACTATCTCCTGAAGCCTGACGCTTCTAACAGGCCTAACTTTACCTTTTTTTGCATTAAAAGTTCTCTCCAGCTAAAAGTTTTTGGCTTATTTTTTGGCTTAGTTACACCATAGTGCGTCGTTTGAATAGAGAAAGCCGTTCTTATGCCTTTTTCTAAGGGATTGAAACTTAAAAAAAATTCGGCCCAACTGGCGTCTGCCTAAGAATTGTCGGCTTAGTTACAGCTTCGTAAATTTTCTTCTGCCTTTTCAAGGCTGAAAGTTGTCTTTCTTGATATTTTTTCCTCAAAACGATTTGCATTTGAGTCAAACGTGAGAAACTAATTACAATTTTTGTAGATCTAGTTTTTGATTGTTTTTTTAAGCAAGCAAGCCTGGGTTCTTTGTGTTTTTTATGCAACATTTTTCTACTACATCTCGCATACAAAAGTGCTCTTATTGGTAATTTATTTTGCTGCTTAGTATTGGCAGTTTAATAGCACGTGTTGTCCGCTTAATGAGTGGCTGGTTTTTTGTGAAGTTCAAAAAAAATTGCGCAGATGGGAGGAAATTGGGTTTTTAACCTCCATATTGGGATTTGACCCCGGCCGATGGCCCAAATTTTTTATTCCGGCACAAAGTTTTTTTTCAAGGCTTATTTTGCTATTTCTTTTTTTTGTGCCTGTTTAACTTAACGCAGTTTCGCCTCTGTGTAATTGTTTTTTTTTTACGATTAAGTGGCTTTCGTCTTATTTTTTTGCCGAAAAGTTTGCCATGTTTTATGTCTTTAACCTATCATAAAAGATCAGAAGCACTGCTTGCCTCTATAAAAAAATTTTGTCAGAATGTTTTGTTTTTTGAAAATTGTTTTTAACAGTTTTTGGGGTTTTAGACTTCAATACCAGCGGCTTAGCTACTAACCGGTTTGCTAAAAGAATATTAGTTTCGTAATTGGTGCGAAGATTCATTTCGCCTCTGTGTTTCTTATAGACCAGCAATGGACAAAATGAACCAACACAAAGTTCAACAAGGATAGCCGGTTACTGCGCACGTAGCACAGAATGTTCCGACAATGGTCTTTCGAAAACTACGGTTTTGAATGTTTTTTTTTCCAAAATAACGTAGTTTTTTCTGCTTGGTGTGATAGAAGGATCTGACTGACGTAAAAATTATGTTTTGAGCAAATTAGACAATCATCGTAATATAGGCAAATTGGACAAAAAATGGTTGTGGAAAAATCACTAGAAAAACTAGAAAAAAATTTTAAAATGATTTTTTTTTTCAATTTTTTTTGATTCCCATAATGAAGCTAAAATACTCCAAAAACTAGTTTTTCTTGCTTAAAATTAAGCTTCAATGTCTTATATTAGGCATAATTCAGCTTTTCTAAGCCTCCTCGCTTGCTTTGTTCGCTCAAACCGGTTTTTCTCGACACGGGTAATTTTTTTGGAAATTTTTTTAATGTGGTTCAAATCACGACTGAAAGGGCTTTCTAATGATATATCACTCAACTCAGTCCGATGATTATTTGAGGTACCTGATTTTGCATGGAAAACCAAAACAAACAAGGATAGCCGGTTATCCTTGTTTGTTTTTGTTTGCACATTCTGTGCAAGTAGCACAGAATGTTCAGACCATAGTCTTAAAAAAATACAACAAAGTTTTTTCAAATTATTGGCGTTTTTTTTAGCCGTGGTGGATTAGATGCTTTTGCTACGAAAAATTGGAGGCCAGGTATAGTAGACAGCCATTCTAAAATAAGCAAAACGAAAGACAATTTTTGTAGAAAAATAACTAGAAAAACGAAAATTTTCTAAATTTTTGAAAATTTCAAAAAAAGTTAAGATTCTAAAAAGGCGTTAAAATACTCAAAGTAAACTAACGTCATCCAAGTAAAACTAAGTTTTTGTTCCAACCATTGAAAATTGGGAGTAACTTGTTATTAGGGTATGTTTCAGTTTTTTTTTGTTTTCCACGCAAAATCAGCTAATAGGGTTGAGTGATATATCATATTAAGGCCTTCTTAGTCGTGATTTGAATGGCATTTGAAAATTAAAAAAAAATTAAAAAAAATTCACAGTGTCAAGAAAAACCGGTTTGAAATTTTTGGTCTAATTTCGAGCTAATTAGTAAGATAGTTAGTAATTGCAATAAATTATTTGAGCTTAATTAAGCCGTGATAACTTAGTTTTACTCAGCTAATAAAGGTTTTTGGAGTTTTTAGTGCAATTTTGGGAATCAAAAACTTGAAAGTTCGAAAAACTTCCTTAAAAAATATGAACATTTTTGAATTTTTTCATTTTTTTTTTTCGTTTTTGTAGTAATTTTTCTTCAAGAACTGTTTTCCACTTGACTTATTTTACTATGACTCTTAAATATGCCTAAGTTCTATGATAAGTTTGTGGTACCTAAAATTGTGGTACCTGATTTTGCTTGGAAAACAAAAAGAAAAAACTAAAACACACCCGAATACAAAGTTTCTCCCCATTTTCAATGGTCGGAACAAAAACAAAGTTGTTTTTTATTCGCGTGATATTTTGCTAATTTTGGGTTAATTTTATGTACGAGAAACTACTTGCAGCAACGCGACTAAAACTAAAAGAAAATAGGAAGACATAACCACAAAATCGATAATTGATAAGGTTTTTTCCGAATTTTTCAAAGTAAACAATAATGCCAAAACTGGTCAATAATGTCGAATTATATCCCAAAAATTTGTTTTGCGATTTTTCACTATAATCATTTTTTTTGCTTAACTGAACTGAAAATCCATGTAGTTACCGATTAGAACCGAACCGACATGAAAATTACTGAACCGCCAACCCTTAAAACTAGTTATGAAGAAGCCACGAAGAAATATCGATATAAAGTTTTCGATAAACGAGTTTTAGAGCATCTATCAAAGACAAACAATCTCATCTAAGAATAATCATATTTGTTACTCGTATACTTTATTGAGTTATTATATTTAGCGAAGCCTTTTTTGCGACAAGAAGTTATTTTTTTGACCATCATTTAGACGAAGTAACGTTTTTATCATTATGTTTTTTCAGGCTATGCTAATTTTTAATCAAATTTTGATTAGTTTTAATCATGATCGCTACATGGTTCTCCACAAATAGCCGAGCTGCTCGTTGTTCGTTTTTTCTCGTAATGGGTAATAGGTCCATTCAATCGTATATTTGCATATTTTCTACAGGAAGCGAATGCGGCGGCGGCCAAGAAGAGGTCTGCTCCTTGACCCTGGACATCGATGATTGCATAAACAGGTACTGTGACCTGGAAGAGACAAAAGCGAGAGCCCTGGATAACAATGGAACAGTGGAGTGTGAGTCATACATGATGAAGTGCACCAAAGCATACAGCTGTAAATGCGAAGGCGAGAACCAAGTATTCGATTACGACCAAAACTGCATCGAAAAACACGTAAGTCACATATTTAGCTGTTTTTGTTTTTTCATGCAAGATTGGAAATTAGACAAATATGTTCAAGTTTGGATAAACGATGATCAGCTCACGTCTCTTTTTTTGCTTTTTTTATGACTTTCCATGGAAATTTGGAGACTAGACAAATGTTGAAGTTTGGATGAACGATAATTATTACAGTTCTAATTATTATGTTGATTCGCTTGCTACAAATGCACGCGTTTCCAAGTGAACCATAAAAATTGCATATATACATTTTTCAATTTAAAAACTATATTCTGTACAAAAAGTTAATCGTTTAGATTAATTTTTATATAGAGAGTTTAGCTTTTAATTTGAATACATAGAAAGGCTAAAAACTGGGAAAACAAGCAGCAGCTTGGTTATAAAAACAACTTGAACTTCGGGTTCGATACTTATTGAACTACGTGTTGCAACTGGCGTTAATAATTCATAGTCAATAAAGCTCTTAAAATTATTTTGATTAAATTCAGATCTTTAAAATTCTGATAATGCTTAAATACAAAATTTCGATAAAGCTAAAATACAAAAATGCTAAATGACAAAAAAATCAAATAACAAGGTTGGTTTGTGCGACTAAGCTTATGGTTGCTCAATGAGGCTCCACTCGACAGTTTTTCGGAAACGGCTTAGTTTTTCTCCTGTTTAGTTTTGCCACTGTAAGAAGAGCGTAACTACAACATCAGCTTCAGTGCCGCCACCTAGCACTTCTACATCTGCGCCAAATGCAACAACTGCTTCAGCTTCAACAGGAGCACCACCAACCACAACCGGGCCACCTCCAACTGGATCTTCACCAACTACAACTGTGCCACCTACACCTGGATCTTCACCAACCACAACTGGGCCACCCCCAACTGGATCGTCACCAACCACAACGGGGCCACCTCCAACGGAATCTTCACCAACCACAACTGGGCCACCCCCAACTGGATCGTCACCAACCACAACTGTGCCACCTCCAACTGGATCTTCACCAACCACAACTGGGCCACCTCCAACTGGATCTTCACCAACCACAACTGGGCCACCTCCAACTGTATCTTCACCAACCACAACTGTGGCACCTCCAACTGGATCTTCACCAACCACAACTGTGCCACCTCCAACTGGATCTTCACCAACCACAACTGTGCCATCTCCAACTGGGTCTTCACCAACCACAACTGTGCCACCTCCAACTGGATCTTCACCAACCACAACTGGGCCACCTCCAACTGGATCTTCACCAACCACAACTGTGCCACCTCCAACTGGATCTTCACCAACTACAACTGGGCCACCTCCAACTGAATCTTCACCAACCACAACTGTACCACCTCCAACTGGATCTTCACCAACCACAACTGTGCCACCTCCAACTGGATCTTCACCAACCACAACTGTGTCACCTCCAACTGGATCTTCAACAACCACAACTGTGCCACCTCCAGCTGGATTGTCACCAACCACAACTGTGCCACCTCCAACTGGATCTTCACCAACCACAACTGGGCCACCTCCAACTGGATCTTCACCAACCACAACTGTGCCACCTCCAACTGGATCTTCACCAACCACAACTGGGCCACCTCCAACTGGATCTTCACCAACCACAACTGTGCCACCTCCAACTGGATCTTCACCAACCACAACTGTGCCACCTCCAACTGGATCTTCACCAACCTCAACTGTGCCACCTCCAACTGGATCTTCACCAATCACAACTGTGCCACCTCCAACTGGATCTTCACCAACCACAACTGTGTCACCTCCAATTGGATCTTCGCCAACCACAACTGTGCCACCTCCAACTGGATCTTCACCAACCACAACTGTGCCACCTCCAACTGGATTGTCACCAACCACAACTGTGCCACCTCCAACTGGATCTTCATCAACCACAACTGGGCCACCTCCAACTGGATCTTCACCAACCACAACTGTGCCACCTCCAACTGGATCTTCACCAACCACAACTGGGCCACCTCCAACTGGATCTTCACCAACCACAACTGTGCCACCTCCAACTGCATCTTCACCAACCACAACTGTGCCACCTCCAACTGGATCTTCACCAACCACAACTGGGCCCCCTCCAACTGGACCTTCACCAACCACAACTGTGCCACCTCCAACCGGATCTTCACCAACCACAACTGTACCACCTCCAGATGGATCTTCGCCAACCACAACTGTGCCACCTCCAACTGGATATTCACCAACCACAACTGGGCCACCTCCAACTGGATCTTCATCAACCACAACTGTGCCACCTCCAACTGGATCTTCACCAATCACAACTGGGCCACCTCCAACTGGATCTTCACCAACCACAACTGTGCCACCTCCAACTAGATCTTCACCAACCACAACTGGGCCACCTCCAACTGGATCTTCACCAACCACAACTGGGCCACCTCCAACTGGATCTTCACCAACCAAAACGGTGCCACCTCCAACTGGATCTTCACCAACCACAACTGTGCCACCTCCAACTGGATCTTCACCAACAACAACTGTGCCACCTCCAACTGGATTTTCACCAACCACAACTGGGACACCTCCAACTGGATCTTCATCAACCACAACTGTGCCACCTCCAACTGGATCTTCACCAACCACAACTGGGCCACCTCCAACTGGATCTTCACCAACCACAACTGTGCCACCTCCAACTGGATCTTCACCAACCACAACTGGGCCACCTCCAACTGGATCTTCACCAACCACAACTGGGCCACCTCCAACTGGATCTTCACCAACCACAACTGGGCCATCTCCAACTGGATCTTCACAAACCACAACTATGCCACCTCCAACTGGATCTTCACCAACCACAACTGTGCCACCTCCAACTGGATCTTCACCAACCTCAACTGTGCCACCTCCAACTGGATCTTCACCAACCACAACTGGGCCACCTCCAACTGGAACTTCACCAACCACAACTGTTCCACCTCCAACTGGATTTTCACCAACCACAACTGGGCCACCTCCAACTGGATCTTCATCAACCACAACTGTGCCACCTCCAACTGGATCTTCACCAACCACAACTGGGCCACCTCCAACTGGATCTTCACCAACCACAACTGTGCCACCTCCAACTGGATCTTCACCAACCACAACTGGGCCACCTCCAACTGGATCTTCACCAACCACAACTGGGCCACCTCCAACTGGATCTTCACCAACCACAACTGGGCCATCTCCAACTGGATCTTCACAAACCACAACTATGCAACCTCCAACTAGATCTTTACCAACCACAACTGTGCCACCTCCAACTGGATCTTCACCAACCACAACTGTGCCACCTCCAACTGGATCTTCACCAACCACAACTGGGCCACTTCCAACTGGATCTTCACCAACCACAACTGTGCCACCTCCAACTGGATCTTCACCAACCACAACTGTGCCACCTCCAACTGGATCTTCACCAACCACAACTGGGCCAACCCCAACTGGATCTTCACCAACCACAATTGTGCCACCTCCAACTGGATCTTCACCAACCACAACTGGGCCACCTCCAACTGGATCTTCACCAACCATAACTGTGCCACCTCCATCTGGATCTTCACCAACCACAACTGTGCCACCTCCAACTGGACCTTCACCAACCACACCTGTGCCACCTCCAACTGGATCTTCACCAACCACAACTGTGCAACCTCCAACTGGATCTTCACCAACCACAACTGGGCCACTCCCAACTGGATCTTCACCAATCACAACAGTGCCACCTCCAACTGGATCTTTACCAACCACAACTGGGCCACCTCCAACTGGATCTTCACCAACCACAACTGTGCCACCTCCAACTGGATCTTCACCAATCACAACTGTGCCACCTCCAACTGGATCTTCACCAACCACAACTGTGCCACCTCCAACTGGATCTTCACCAACCACAACTGGGCCACCTCCAACTGTATCTTCACCAACCACAACTGGGCCACCTCCAACTGGATCTTCACCAACAACAACTGGGCCACCTCCAACTGGATCTTCACCAATCACAACAGTGCCACTTCCAACTGGATCTTCACCAACCACAACTGTGCCACCTCCAACTGGATCTTCACCAACCACAACTGGGCCACCTCCAACTGGATCTTCACCAACCACAACTGTGCCACCTCCAACTGGATCTTCACCTACCACAACTGGGCCACCTCCAACTGGATCTTCACCAATCACAACTGTGCCACCTCCAACTGGATCTTCACCAACCACAACTGTGCCACCTCCAACTGGATCTTCACCAACCACAACTGCGCCACCTCCAACTGGATCTTCACCAACCGCAACTGTGCCGCCTCCAACTGGATCGTCACCAACCACAACTGGGCCACTTCCAACTGGATCTTCACCAACCACAACTGTGCCACCTCCAACTGCATCTTCCCCAACCACAACTGGGCCACCTCCAACTGGATCTTCACCAACAACAACTGGGCCACCTCCAACTGGATCTTCACCAACCACAACTGTGCCACCTCCAACTGGATCTTCACCAACCACAACTGTGCCACCTCCAACTGGATCTTCACCAACCACAACTGTGCCACCTCCAACTGGATCTTCACCAACAACAACTGAGGCACCTCCAACTGGAACTTCACCAACCACAACTGTGCCACCTCCAACTGGATCTTCACCAACCACAACTGTGCCACCTCCAACTGGATCTTCAACAACCACAACTGGGCCACCTCCAACTGGATCTTCACCAACCACAACTGTGCCACCTCCAACTGGATCTTCACTAACAACAACTGGGCCACCTCCAACTGGATTTTCACCAACCACAACTGTGCCACCTCCAACTGGATCTTCACCAACCACAACTGGGCCACCTCCAACTGGATCTTCACCAACCGCAACTGTGCCACCTCCAACTGGATCTTCACCAACCACAACTGGGCTACCTCCAACTGCATCTTCACCAACCACAACTGTGCCACCTCCAACTGGATCTTCACCAACCACAACTGGGCCACCTCCAACTGGATCTTCACCAACCACAACTGAGGCACCTCCAACTGGAACTTCACCAACCACAACTGTGCCACCTCCAACTGGATCTTCACCAACCACAACTGAGCCACCTCCAACTGGATCTTCACCAACCACAACTGGGCCACCTCCAACTGGATCTTCACCAACCACAACTGTGCCACCTCCAACTGGATCTTCACCAACAACAACTGGGCCACCTCCAACTGGATCTTCACCAACCACAAGTGGGCTACCTCCAACTGGATCTTCACCAACCACAACTGTGCCATCTCCAACTGGATCTTCACCAATCACAACTGGGCCACCTCCAACTGGATCTTCACCAACCACAACTGGGCCACCTCCAGCTGGATCTTCACCAACGACAACAGTGCCACCTCCAACTGGATCTTCACCAACCACAACTGGGCCACCTCGAACTGGATCTTCACCAACCACAACTGGGCCACCTCCAACTGGATCTTCACCAACCACAACTGGGCCACCTCCAACTGGATCTTCACCAACCACAACTGTGCCACCTCCAATTGGATCTTCACCAACCACAACTGGGCCACCTCCAACTGAAACTTCACCAACCACAACTGTGCCACCTCCAACTGGAACTTCACCAACCACAACTGTACCACCTCCAACTGGATCTTCACCAGCCACAACTGGACCACCTCCAACTGGATCTTCACCAACCACAACCGTGCCAACTGCATCTTCACCAACCACAACCGGGCCACCTCCAACTGGATCTTCACCAATCACAACTGTGCCACCTCCAACTGGATCTTCACCAACCACAACCGTGCCACCTCCGACTGGATCTTCACCAACCACAACTGGGCCACCTCCAACTGGATCTTCACCAACCACAACTGTGCCACCTCCAACTGGATTTTCACCAACCACAACTGGGCCACCTCCAACTGGATCTTCACCAACCACAACTGGGCCACCTCCAACTGGATCTTCACCAACCGCAGCTGGGCCACCTCCAACTGGATCTTCACCAACCACAGCTGTGCCACCTCCAACTGGATCTTCACCAATCACAACTGTGCCATCTCCAACTGGATCTTCACCAACCACAACTGGGCCACCTCCAACTGGATCTTCACCAACCACAACTGGGCCACCTCCAACTGGAACTTCACCAACCACAACTGTGCCACCTCCAACTGAATCTTCACCAACCACAACTGTGCCACCTCCAACTGGATCTTCACCAACCACAACTGGGCCACCTCTAACTGGATCTTCACCAACCACAATTGTGCCACCTCCAACTGGATCTTCACCAACCACAACTGGGCCACCTCCAACTGGATCTTCACCAACCACAACTGTGCCACCTCCAACTGGATCCTCACCAACCCAAACTGGGCCACCTCCAACTGGATCTTCACCAACCACAACTGTGCCACCTCCAACTGGATCTTCACCAACCACAACTGTGCCACCTTCAACTGGATCTTCATCAACCACAACTGTGCCACCTCCAACTGGATCTTCAGCAACCACAATTGTGCCACCTCCAACTGGATCTTCACCAACGACAACTGGGCCACCTCCAACTGGATCTTCACCAACCACAACTGTGCCACCTCCAACTGGATCTTCACCAGCCACAACTGGGCCACCTCCAACTGGATCTTCACCAACCACAACTGTGCCACCTCTAACTGGATCTTCACCAACCACAACTGTGCCATCTCCAACTGGATCTTCACCAATCACAACTGTGCCACCTCCAACTGGATCTTCACCAACCACAACTGGGCCACCTCCAACTGGATCTTCACCAACCACAACTGTGCCACCTCCAACTGGATCTTCACCAATCACAACTGTGCCACCTCCAACTGGATCTTCACCAACCACAACTGGGCCACCTCCAGCTGGATCTCCACCAACCACAACTGGGCCACCTCCAACTGGATCTTCACCAACCACAACTGTACCACCTCCAACTGGATCTTCACCAACCACAACTGTGCCATCTCCAACTGGATCTTCACCAATCACAACTGTGCCACCTCCAACTGGATCTTCACCAACCACAACTGTGCCACCTCCAACTGGATCTTCACCAACCACAACTGTGCCACCTCCAACTGAATCTTCACCAACCACAACTGGGCCACCTCCAACTGGATCTTCACCAACCACAACTGTGCCACCTCCAACTGGATCTTCACCAGCCACAACTGGGCCACCTCCAACTGGATCTTCACCAACCACAACCGTGCCACCTCCAACTGGATCTTCACCAACCACAACTGTGCCACCTCCAACTGGATCTTCACCAATCACAACTGGGCCACCTCCAACTGGATCTTCACCAACCACAACTGGGCCACCTCCAACTGGATCTTCACCAACCACAACTGGGCCACCTCCAACTGGATCTTCACCAACCACAACTGTGCCACGTCCAACTGGATCTTCACCAACCACAACTGGGCCACCTCCAACTGGATCTTCACCAACCACAACTGTGCCACCTCCAACTGGATCTTCACCAACCACAACTGGGCCACCTCCAACTGGATCTTCACCAACCACAACTGTGCCACCTCCAACTGGATCTTCACCAACCACAACTGTGCCACCTCCAACTGGATCTTCACCAACCACAACTGGGCCACCTCCAACTGGATCTTCACCAACCACAACTGGGCCACCTCCAACTGGAACTTCACCAACCACAACTGTGCCACCTCCAACTGGATCTTCACCAACCACAATTGTGCCACCTCCAACTGGATCTTCACCAAGCACAACTGGGCCACCTCCAACTGGATCTTCACCAACCACAACTGTGCCACCTCCAACTGGATCTTCATCAACCACAACTGTGCCACCGCCGCCAACTGGAACTTCACCAACCGCAACTCTGCCACCTCCAACTGGATCTTCACCAACCACAACTGGGCCACCTTCAACTGGAACTTCACCAATCGCAACTGTGCCACCTCCAACTGGATCTTCACCAACCACAACTGTGCCACCTCCAACTGGATCTTCACCAACCACAACTGGGCCACCTCCAACTGGATCTTCACCAACCACAACTGTGCCACCTCCACCTGGATCTTCACCAACCACAACTGTGCCACCTCCAACTGGATCTTCACCAACCACAACTGGGCCACCTCCAACTGGAACTTCACCAACCACAACTGTGCCACCTCCAACTGGATCTTCACCAACCACAACTGTGCCACCTCCAACTGGATCTTCACCAACCACAACTGGGCAACCTCCAACTGGATCTTCACCAACCACAAGTGTGCCACCTCCAACTGGATCTTCACCAACCACAACTGGGCCACCTCCAACTGGATCTTCACCAACCACAACTGTGCCACCTCCAACTGGATCTTCACCAACCACAACTGTGCCACCTCCAACTGGATCTTCACCAACTACAACTGTGCCACCTCCAACTGGATCTTCACCAACCACAACTGTGCCACCTCCAACTGGATCTTCACCAACCACCACAACTGGGCCACCTCCAACTGGATCTTCACCAACCACAACTGTGCCACCTCCAACTGGATCTTCACCAACCACAACTGGGCCACCTCCAAGTGGATCTTCACCAACCACAACTGTGCTACCTCCAACTGGATCTTCACCAACCACAACTGTGCCACCTCCAACTGGATCTTCACCAACCACAACTGTTCCACCTCCAACTGGATCTTCACCAATCACAACTGGGCCACCTCCAACTGGATCTTCACCAACCACAACTGTGCCACCTCCACCTGGATCTTCACCAACCACAACTGTGCCACCTCCAACTGGATCTTCACCAACCACAGCTGGGCCACCTCCAACTGGAACTTCACCAACCACAACTGTGCCACCTCCAACTGGATCTTCACCAACCACAACTGTGCCACCTCCAACTGGATCTTCACCAACCACAACTGGGCCACCTCCAACTGGATCTTCACCAACCACAAGTGTGCCACCTCCAACTGGATCTTCACCAACCACAACTGGGCCACCTCCAACTGGATCTTCACCAACCACAACTGGGCCACCTCCAACTGGATCTTCACCAACCACAACTGTGCCACCTCCAACTGGATCTTCACCAACCACAACTGTGCCACCTCCAACTGGATCTTCACCAACCACAACTGTGCCACCTCCAACTGGATCTTCACCAACCACAACTGGGCCACCTCCAACTGGATCTTCACCAACCACAACTGTGCCACCTCCAACTGGATCTTCACCAACCACAACTGGGCCACCTCCAACTGGATCTTCACCAACTTCAACTGGGCCACCTCCAACTGGATCTTCACCAATCACAACTGTGCCACCTCCAACTGGATCTTCACCAACCACAACTGTGCCACCTCCAACTGGATCTTCAACAACCACAACTGGGCCACCTCCAACTGTATCTTCACCAACCACAAATGTGCCACCTCAAACTGGATCTTCACCAACCGCAACTGTGCCACCTCCAACTGGATCTTCACCAACCACAACTGGGCCACCTCCAACTGGATCTTCACCAACCACAAGTGTGCCACCTCCAACTGGATCTTCACCAACCACAACTGGGCCACCTCCAACTGGTTCTTCACCAACCACAACTGTGCCACCCCCAACTGGATCTTCACCAACCACAACTGTGCCACCTCCAACTGGATCTTCACCAACCACAATTGTGCCACCTCCAACTGGATCTTCACCAACCACAAGTGTGCCACCTCCAACTGGATCTTCACCAACCACAACTGGGCCACCTCCAACTGGATCTTCACCAACCACAACTGTGCCACCTCCAACTGAATCTTCACCAACCACAACTGGGCCACCTCCAACTGGATCTTCACCAACCACAACTGTGCCACCTCAAACTGGATCTTCACCAACCACAACTGGGCCACCTCCAACTGGATCTTCACCAACCACAACTGGGCCACCTCCAACTGGATCTTCACCAATCACAACTGTGCCACCTCCAACTGGATCTTCACCAACCACAATTGTGCCACCTCCAACTGGATCTTCACCAACCACAACTGTGCCACCTCCAACTGGATCTTCACCAACCACAACTGGGCCACCTCCAACTGGAACTTCACCAATCACAACTGTGCCACCTCCAACTAGATCTTCACCAACCACAACTGTGCCACCTCCAACTGGATCTTCACCAACCACAACTGGGCCACCTCCAACTGGATCTTCACCAACCACAACTGTGCCACCTCCAACTGGATCTTCGCCAACCACAACTGGGCCACCTCCAACTGGATCTTCATCAACCACAACTGGGCCACCACCAACTGGATCTTCACCAACTACAACTGTGCCACCTCCAACTGGATCTTCACCAACCACAACTGGGCCACCTCCGACTGGATCTTCACCAACCTCAACTGTGCCACCTCCAACTGGATCTTCACCAACCACAACTGGGCCACCTCCAACTGGATCTTCACCAACCACAACTAAGCCACCTCCAACTGGATCTTCACCAACCACAACTGGGCCACCTCCAACTGGATCTTCACCAACCACAACTGTGCCACCTCCAACTGGATCTTCGCCAACCACAACTGGGCCACCTCCAACTGGATCTTCATCAACCACAACTGGGCCACCACCAACTGGATCTTCACCAACTACAACTGTGCCACCTCCAACTGGATCTTCACCAACCACAACTGGGCCACCTCCGACTGGATCTTCACCAACCTCAACTGTGCCACCTCCAACTGGATCTTCACCAACCACAACTGGGCCACCTCCAACTGGATCTTCACCAACCACAACTAAGCCACCTCCAACTGGATCTTCACCAATCACAACTGTGCCACCTCCAACTGGACCTTCACCAACCACAACTGTGCCACCTCCAACTGGATCTTCACCAACCACAACTGTGCCACCTCCAATTGGATCTTCACCAACCACAACTGGGCCGCCACCTCCAACTGGAACTTCCCCAACCACAACTGTGCCACCTCCAACTGGATCTTCACCAACCACAACTGTGCCACCTCCAACTGGATCTTCACCAACCACAACTGTTCCACCTCCAACTGGATCTTCACCAACCACAACTGGGCCAACTCCAACTGGATCTTCACCAACCACAACTGTTCCACCACCAAATGGATCTTCACCAACCACAACTGGACCACCTCCAACTGGATCTTCACCAACCACAACTGGGCCACCTCCAACTGGATCTTCACCAACCACAACTGTGCCACCTCCAACTGGACCTTCACCAACCACAACTGTGCCACCTCCAACTGGATCTTCACCAACCACAACTGGGCCACCTCTAACTGGATCTTCACCAACCACAAGTGTACCACCTCCAACTGGATCTTCACCAACCACAACTGGGCCACCTCCAACTGGATCTTCACAAACCACAACTGTGCCACCTCCAACTGGATCGTCACCAACCACAACTGGGCCACCTCCAACTGGATCTTCACCAACCACAACTGGGCCACCTCCAACTGGATCTCCACCAACCACAACTGTGTCACCTCCAACTGGATCTTCACCAACCACAACTGTGCCACCTCCAACTGGATCTTCACCAACCACAACTGGGCCACCTCCAACTGGATCTTCACCAACCACAACTGGGCCACCTCCAACTGGATCTTCACCAACCACATCTGTTGCAAATGAGACAACTACACGTATGACTTTTAGTACGCAATTACTTCAAACTTTCAACTACATTTTTATCAAGTTATGTGGATAAATGTCAATTTAGGTACACCAAAGATAAGTACAACAACTTCGATTTCGACCACTTATAGTGGTACCACGAAGCTGTCGACAAAAGTAACAACATACACTGCTGCTGAATCAACTACCAAGGTTGTGACGACCACATTCTGTGACTACAACCAATCGGCTACCATAATTTTAGACGACATCAATGATCGTAAGTTGTTCATCTGACTCAATGCCCGCAAAATTCGACAGTGCAAGGAAGGACTGTGCAATCAGCCTATTTCCTTGCTAATTAAGGAAAAACAACGCTAATTAAGGAAAAGTTGAACAAAAATTAAACTTGCTAAAATCATAACTCGTGTTGACCTTCGGGTATTCTCCGATTGGTGCAAAATTTCAATTGTTTAACTTTAAACACGGCTTTTGCTTGATTTCATTAGAGCAAAAGCGCAAATAAGACGATTCGCGCTGATTTTTTTTAATGATAATTAGGCCGAATTCTTGAACAATGTGCATTAAAAACATAGATGCAGTCTTTTTCCGAATTAATGGCAGCTGATTGAAAAAATTTCACCGAGAACTAGAACATTGGTACGCTCATTTAGTGGCCCGACGTACAATCTTTCTCTAGAACTAAAATGAAAATAACCAAAGGTATCAAATAGGCATTTTAAACCAATCGCAGGAACGACAATTATTATTATTATTATTAAATTGACCTTCAAAATTTTGGATATGAGATGGCGTATGAATAGATATATCCATAAGTCAACGCTCCCATTTTAGCGACAAAATGTTTTCATTTTGAAAGTTCGTTTTGATCCAGCTATTAAGTACAGCCAATGCTAAGGATATTAACGCAGACTATTAAATTACACAAAGCATTTTAGTTTCAATGGATCGTGGATCTGTAGCGTAGAGGTAGAGAAGGAGACCCGCAATAAAATAAGAGGGTTCGAACCTGGGCAAGGTCGGATGTTTTTCATGAACTTTTTCGTATACTAGTTAAAATGCGTCCGTTCTATAAATTGAGCTAGTTGGTAATATTTTCTTATCAAACTGACTGGTACTGCTAATACGTCATAATTGGCTCACGTCACTTAGCAATTATGTAGACTCATCAATGGCTTGCGTCACTTAAGAAATTTTGTAGACTCCAAGCTGTACTCATTCAATTTTTCCCAGTAGCGTTATCGGTCAGATTTTTGCTTGTGTATTCGAAGTGCAACTTCGCCTCTGTGTTGATGTTTGCAGTTAAAATTGCACTCTGATGCCTGGCAAATAAATTGACATCTGTTAAGACATCAAAAGTATTTTCGGTACATTAAGAAGACATTATAATCTGCAAAATGTCTTAATTTGCATAAAATTTCCATTTTACAGAATTTTGAAGCTTATATGTGAGCTTATATTGCGCTTAAAACATTACTTTGGATGGTTCTAGGACAACAAGCTGACAGGATTTCTAGCCGAAGGGACTTCAGGCCGAAATTTAAAGTTTAATAAGCACCTAAAAACATTATTTTTTCATCTGTAAAATAGTATTTTTAAGAAATGAGGCAAATTTAGTCCATAATGAGCTTTATTCTTGACAATGCACCCTTTAGAAAAAGCATCCATAATTTATATCAGCCGGATTTTGAAATGAATAAATTATAAAAAATAAAATGCAACTTTAACGGTATTTTAGTTTTACCTTCCTGAACATCAATTGGAAATTTATATTTTATGAAAAGCCAAAAAACGTCAGCAAATTCAAAATTTTTTCAGACCAGTTCTCAGTTAAATCTTATTTCATGACTTGATATCCGACACCCACTTTGGATAGCTTCAACTTTGTTCGGACATAATTTTCGGATATTTGATTCCATGGAGTGCGGTCAAAAACTAGGCAAACTTTATTTCATACCGGTAAAAAAAGACAAATACTGTATTAACCAATCAAAATTGAGAAGAGAAAGCAACCTTAGGAACTAAATAATTATAAAATAATTATTTCTTAAGTTTGTTGTTCTCGATTCTGATTAGTTAATATAGTAGTTGTCTACTTTATGACGTTTTTTTTTACTTGTCTACTTTTTGTTACGTTACTGGATTCCTTGTACTGGGGTGGTATAGAAACCAGGCAAAGTTCGAACCAGCTGCCATATGATCCAGTCAAAAATTATGGATCTTACACAATAATTTTGTGTTTTGTTCTCAAGTGCTGATGTAAATTATCCGGACGAAAAGCATAAAATATGAAACTTAAAACAAGTTTTTCTCAAATTTAGTTGACAGCAGGTGAAAAAGGATACGGACAAAATTTGCTCAAAATTTTAAGGAAATTTTTTATCATACAATGTATTTTGCGAAATTCGGGCCCAAAGTTGTTTCTAAAAACGGATCATTTGTAACTTTCTTAGTCAATCAAAAATTACGATAAAACTACTACTGACAAAAAATATATCAAAGTGAGCCTCTTAAGTAGCCTAACAAAATTTAAGAAGAGTATAACATCGAAAAATTTGTATAAAGAAAACTAGTTTTCTTTGATAGCCAAAAAGGTCATTTTCTTGTATAAAACTCGTTTTATTATATAAAACTCATTTTATAATTTAAAAGTAATTTTTGAACGTTTTGCGCAATTTGTCAGGAGAATATACCCTTCTCATACTTTGTTGACCTACGTAAGGGGCTCATTTTAATATATTTTTGTCAGTAATTGACCCAGTAATTTCAGCGCAATTTTTGATTGACTGAAAAGGTAAACTGATCCGCTTTTGGGGTAAAGTTTTTGGGCCCGAACCTTGCAAAGCAAATAGCACCATTTTGCCAAATTGCCAAAATTTAAAGCGAGTCAACCAGTTTTGACAAAAAGGCATTTAAAGATTCAAGTTTAATGCTTTTCGTTTCGTCCAGACAATCTAAATCAGCACTGTTTGATGTACTCAGTTCGTGTTTTTGTTTCGTCCAGAGATACCAAAATACTGATGGTTTATTCGTGTGCTCTAGCAAGACTGGATAGTCTGTCGGAGGATGAGAGACAGATGTTGGACAGTGAAGAGTGGGGGGAGGCCATGGCCAGCTCCCTCGCCAGTTCCATCCCCGGCTGCTCCTGGGTCTGCTACAACTGCACCTGCTGGTACGAACTATATTAATGGAATCGTTACAAGTAATAACTATACTACAAGAAAAAACAGCTATTTATATACTAATTGGTAACTTTAATTCAGATGTACTTATCAAAGCAACCACTGGTATTATATATTAGTCAGTACCAAATAATAGTGTATTAGGCATGCATCACATACCATCTAGGGTCATCAGAATGTGCGTGCCCACAGAGCCGCTATCCCGGATAGCCGACAAAAACTAAATACCTCCGATTGTAACTAAATTAAGTAAAAACCAAATTGAAATTCATTTTAATTGGATAGCCTGATAGCTAACAAATTTCCGAAAACCTTTAAAGAGATTTGATTGGCTGATACGTTTTTTCTCAATGAATTAATTAACAAGAAAAGTCCGGCTACTTTCTTCCTAACAACAAAACTCCGGTTTTTCCTGATACAGTTAACAATTACTAACACCCCCCTCTCATTGTATTTACAAAAGAATGCCTTGCTTGAAAGGGGAATAACTTCTTCAAACAGGGAGTGTGGAGTTGGGGGGAGGGTCTGGGGTTACCACCCTCTCAACCTCAACAATTAAATTACATCATAAGTTTGGGACCTCATAATTGTTTCTTGGCCGGGAGAGCTGAATATATTGCTGGAGAATTTTTTATACCGAATACCTATTTTATCCTGTTAATAGCGTAAAATATTATTCATAATTTGATATCGAGTATTTTTTTTGACTAAATAGACCACTTTTTTTGCCCTCGAAGTCAGCTTCTGAAAAAACGGTAATTAAATCCCCCCTAAATCGATTAGGGGTGATTGCGGTTGATCCAAGTAAACAATAAGAAAAAAAGTGTATTGATTAGTACTTGTTGGTTATAAAGTATGTTTTTAATATGCAATTTTATGGTTATTGTAATATTGAACGGCTGGGGGAGCAAAATAAATTCGGCTTTTCGGGATCGATCTTATTTTTCGACTATCCGGGAACGAATTTAGTTTTCGGCTATCCGTGAACGAGTTTATTTTTCGGGTATTCGGCTCCGTGACACGCAACCCATCAGAAGAGCTCGTCAGTTGAGGCCCCTTCTAACAATCTAAAAAAGAAGCTTAATTGGTAATTATGATAATGGCTCTTATAACAACACAATTGTGAATCCATAATTACAAGAGTTGCGATTTGCTGTGCCAGTAGCACAGAAAGTTCAGACCACAGATCATCGTTGCATAGTTATTTTTTTGAGACTTTTTGACACATTTTTTGAGAAAGATAAAAATATCAACTTTTGAACAGCTACTTTATAACAAATTATTTAATTTAAAAGTCTCAATACCAGGGCTGGGAGGTTGTCGCCAAAGGATGCCCAAAACTAAAAAAACTGGTCAAACTTGAAAAAACAGCCATCAAAATGCGCTTTCAATTACAACTTTTTCGAATTTTTCTCAGAGAATTTTTGACGGAAGTCATAATTTTCAAAAAAGCATTACTTTTTCTTATTTTATTAGGCATTCAGTACGAAATATGCGCTTAAAGAGAAGGTCTTATAACAACTTCTCTGTTTCTCCCAACCCAGCTCGTTACTTGTTCAACAAGGTAAATTTGTAAACGTGATGAATAGTCTAAAAAATCCATAGTTTTAAATTAGTTTTCCTCGATGCTGGAAAAACTGTCGATGAACGTGGTTCAGACTCTTATATAGGTCGTGATGTTTTTTTTTCAGGAAAAGTCCTTAAATTTGTCCACGCTAAATTTTAACTATTGATTTCTTTTAAAGTTCAGTTCATTTCCGTTGTTTAAAGAAAGACGTACTCCACTGTCAAAAGCAAAACTGTAGAAGTCACGCAAAACGAAATCAACTTCTAGTTTCAAGAGTGGATTTAATTGTTTAGATTTCCCAGCAATCATAAATTGTGCTCGAAATTGTTTTGATTTCCCACCAATCATAAATTGTGATTGAAATTCAAAGAGTTTTATGGAAAATTAATTTCAGTCATTTCCCACTTTCGAGGCGATTAATAATTCCTTTTTGCACTATAAGATCGCGTAGAATATGTTGTTCCGATCACATCGCCGAAAGTAACTGGAAGGAATTATGGCGTATGGTTCATTTTTCCAGCCAATTTTGATTACCTCGCACGGGATCAACGTTGATATCTTTTTGAAGCACTTTTGTTTAAGATTAAGACTCTTAAAAGTGTCCTTATTGTTTCTTTATTCCTTATTATTTAAGTGTTTTTAAAATGTTTTTTTTTTCCATAAATTGTCCACCGGTAAAACATAATATCTAAAACCATAGTTTGATCAATTGCATCATTTTAAGTCCTTTTTAGACCTTAATTTGTTGTGGAAATTAAAACGAAAATTAAGAACTTTTTGCTTTTTAATTTGAGTTTGGACTTTTTTGGCATTTATTTAGGCTATCCTAAAAAAAATAATCCGTGAAAAATTAGCTTTTGAAGCTTTTTGGATCTAATTAACAATTCTTCCTCCATTTCAAGAAAGGGGAAGCCATTGTTAAGTAGATTAGACGGCGAATTTTTGATCAATCAGATTGCAGCAAAACTCGAATTTAAAATACAAGGCATTAGTGCTAATTTAATGCTTTTATTTATAGGGGTGGCAGTTTTTTAATAGGTACCAAAAGAAGTGTGATTGTTGAGTAGATCCAGTTTATTTTAACGATTCAATAAAATGGTTTTAAAAAGGCAGAAAAAAGGAATTATTAAGAAAAATATAGTCGAGTATGGCTGGTTAGTTTTTATAAGTTTTCCTTTTCTTCCTCTCACTGTAGTCGTTGGAAATTTCTATTTTTGTGATTGGAACAGTTGGTACTATATGCACAAAATCCGTCTACACGTTTTCTAATTGCAATTTTGTCTAAATATAGTTTAATCAGGACGTTTGTAAGGGTCAATAAACGTAGTGAAGACGCTTATATAGATTTTTTCTGTTGCCTCAAAGCCCTTTAAATTTCAAGAACAACTTATGATTGACCTCTTAAAATTTGTTCGTGCCAAATTTGAACTATTATTGCAATTAAATTTTGGAAGAACACAAACTGTTTTTTCCAATTGCAAAATCGGAAATGGCGCAAAAAAAAAACGTGGAATAAAATGCTCTTTAATGATCATTTGGGGTTAGTTTTATCAAAAAAAGATCAATCATAAGGTGTTCTAGAAATTCAGAGAGCTTGAAAGCCATCAAATTTTTTTCTTTGAAATTTGGAAGTTTTTTTATTAAACAAGTCGGTCATTTATTTCCGGTTTTCTTGCAATCATTAACACTTTTTCAAGTGACTGTTGGCTTTTTTTTTTCATTGGTAACGATCAAAAAAAACATACGAGTAATGTTTTTCTTTAGCTACTGCATGGCTGGATCGTTCCAGACTTGCTTGGAATTCGAGGACTGTGTCGAGGCACGAGACTCTGGGTCTGATTCCAAAGACTGGATCTGTACCGACTTGACAACATACACGCCCTCTTACTCCACAACACCCGAGATGACTACACCCTTCACGACTCCACCGACCGAGACCACGACAACTGAACCCGAGTGCATGTTCTGCGAGAAGATGGTGTCAGGTCTCTCGATCAGGTAAAACTCGATCACTTCTTTCTAAGTGATGTGCTTATATACAGTCAATGTTAGACCGAGTCAAAAACGAACCGCTCAAACGCTCAAAAAATGATGTGACTGCTTTAAAACTTTAAGTGAATTTTTTGCTCTTATTTAAGACTTTTTTAAATTAAAAAAAGTTTTTAGCGTTTGCATGAATGTTCGAAATTGTTTCAAATGATAAGGCAATGGAAATAATCTAAGAAGAAAGTAAATTTGCTTCATTTCTACTTCTTATTTATCAAAATTTCCATTATGAAAACTTTCTTACGCTGAGTTCATTATTTTAGTGGAATTGGTGACAGCTCCGCGCCTGGAACAGTGGATGACTCGCCCGTCTTTTTGACCTTGACCGAAGGCGGAAGTGGCCTGAGCCGACAATTCATTCACGTGGCACTAGATGGCAAACAGATTGTAAACACAGTGAAACTCGACCTTGAGGACCAGACTGTGAGGCTGAATGCATTTACAGTGTTGTACTATGATTCGGATACTCTGGAAGAAGGAACAACTCTTAAGGAGTTTAAAGAAGATGGGGAGGAAGTAACATATACAGTGAACCCGCAGTTCCCATGCAGTCTCTACGATGGAAGCTCACCTGATTTGGAGGTATGTTCTGTGCTTGTGCTAATTTAAGAATTTCCTCAGAGTCAATAGGTGGTAGGATCGATCCTATTTGTCGTACAGAACTATAAACCTCATTTAGAAACTGAAATGTCTTTTAATGGATATAAGTAAGATGTTGTACAACTTTTGAAATTTAAATCATAAAAAGACCTTTTTTTGCTTTTAAAAGTGTTTTAAAGATTTGAAATTTTCTGGTCAAAGTGGATTACACGTTTGATATATGGTTTATATTAAACATAGCAGTGCAAAATATCAGAGGTATAATTTATAACACTATGGGAAATATATCTAAGAAAAATATAATTTTTAAAATTAAGACTTGAACTAGTTTTGTGTTCCTTTAGCCGACAGTGTTCAGCTCCTTCAGCAGTGACGTGATCGAGTACATGGTTCCAGCTGGAGCGTATGTGAAGGCAAAGGGTCTGCTGTTAGTGCCATCTGCCGAAATGTGCACCACATCTTCGACGGACAGTGAGAGTATCCTGGTTGAGATCAAACCAGACACAGTCAAAGTTGGCCAGAATGAGTGCAACGAGGACGAAGACCAGTGCATGAGTGAGTTATGTAACAATTACATAATAAATTTGTTCTCAAGAAAAGAAAAAGAAGATAATTTGCTTGGTTAAGTGCCTGCTCAAAGCGGTGTTATGATAAAAACTATAAGCAAATTTATTTTGATGTTTTTTAAAAATGTATTTGCCCCGTCTCGTAAATCAATTTATCATGATTATCACTTAGTAATCACGTAATCCCAGATTGTGCAACACCAAATCGGGCAGTTTGCTGCCTATTGTGTGGTGTCTTCTTCTGTTCAATGGAAATTTATTACAAGCGAAAACGAAAATGTAAAGTAAACTATTTTAAATTGTTGTTATAGAATGAAAATAGACTTTAGGAGAAACTATAATCCATGAACAGTGATTTTCAAGTTCATTGCTACCATAATGATGAGGTTATATGTCTCATAGATGCCCAAGGAACATGAACCTTACTGAACACATATAGGGATTTTAAATATGTTGATATCATTATTCAGGGTAACATTCAGTTGCTCACGTATTAATTAAGTTCACCTAAATTAGTTCACGCTGTATTAACATCGAATGACCTTGACTTGACAGGTGCCGAGGAGCCAGAACCCTGTGCGGAAGAGATGGAGGAGGCTAGTTTGGACAGTGTAGTGGTGACCTCTAAGACCTGTGAGGAGAGTATGATTGATGATGTCCTACCAGTGGGCGTGTTGATGAAGACCGACTTCCAAGTTGGACAAGGACAACAGGACGTGAGTAATCATATCTTATTCACAGTTTTTTCACTACTATTGAAGTTTGTCAAAAGTATTTGCTCAAGTGAAAAACTTGGCTCCCTCCCCTAAACTTGTTTTTTTTTCATATACGGCAGTGAAAATGGAGCATTGCTCTTCTTAACTTGTGCGTCAAGTTTTGTCGCTTGAACCGTTGTTTATTGTCATTTAATTGAGTCAACGCAAAATGACAACGGAACCTTGTTGTTCTAGGCTCAGCTCACCGGTTTCTCAGTAGTGTTCGAATCCGATGACTCACCGAGTGAACTGAAGGTGGCGATCGTATTCCGAACTTTGGAAGGCACCGAGTACCAACTGGGAACTTACTTCGGACCCCTGGGAGTTGCTGAGAAGCAATTCAACTCCACCGTTGACCCGACAAACGAAGACGTTAAAGTAAGCAGTGGTCTGCAGGCTCATTCAATCAAATTTTTGTGTGATGATTTTGGTTGTACTGCAATACTACTACTTATTTATCCATGAAACTATAGTTTCTTGAACAACAGCAACGTCATGTTTGTATTTTTTTGAAAAAGTTTTCTAACGGATTATTTTAACTGAAAAAGCCAATGGCATATAACCGAAATCTTATATGTAATATATGTAAGAAGTGCAATTTCTATGCAATTGAAAATCTGGGATTTTACAGTTGTTGTTGGCTCCCTCGAGGAGGGAGGGGGAAGGAGTGTTGAAGACATTTGCTTTGTTCGATTTTGGTTTTCCGGTTGCAACTCTTGGAATTCGTCTTTTTTGGAAACTGTGATTTGCCACTCATAATATCCGGTTGTTCAGATGTGGGATGTGTTGGCCGAAGATGGAGAGGCCTCGATTGAGTTCACCTTCAACGACACTGGCTCCTTCCCCGCCACTTCTCTCTCAGTCTACATTCTGCAGACAGACTCACTCGACTCCTGCAACAAGTTCGACACAGCTGGAGACAGCAGTGCCATCACAATCACTGTAGAGGGATGCTTCAGTAAGTTTTACTCATCGTTTTTATATTTAAAACCAAATTGTTGGCAGTATTTTTTTCAGCAAACCTAAAACAGTCAAAAATCTACTTAATGTCAAAAAATTAAAATATGCTTCAAAAATGGCCTAGATTTACTTTAATCAATTTCAGAGCCCTCAACTACAGCCCTGACTACGGGACCTGTTAGCAGTACCACTTACTACTGTGAGGAGAACCCCCTGACCAGCTACACGAAGGCTGTCTCCTTCAAGGAAACAGATTCGGGAAGACAAGCAGAACTCATCAACTTCGTCAGTGCTTTTTTCTTGATGTTTGAATAGATGGCAATTATGAAGTGAAGTTCCCAAATTCGTACGAGGGATGTTTTCTAGGGCAGTTTATCAAAGATGAATTTGTTTCCCGTCGAGTTTTTCAGCTTATATATTTTTTTGGATTTGCATGGAGGGTTCACTGTAATGTATAATTTTCTGCATAATTTTTTGGATTTTTTGATGAATGAAATAACCCCAAATAATCGTAGAAAATCACCTGTAGTAAAATTGTTCTAGGAAATATTTCGAAATGTGGTTTTTGTTTAAATTGTAGCTTTATTATAGTTTGATAATTTCAACTTTTTTCTATCCAGGGTATCGACCAGAAACTTGTGCGCCTGGTGGTTGACCCCACTGGAGATGTGTCCCCTGGATCCCCAGCATCTCCAAAGAGGTTCACCTTCCAACTCGTCTTCGTTGATGATAATGGAGTAGATGTGACCCCAGTTGACCCCAACAAACCAACTGCAGACATCACAACTTTGGTGAGCACGCAGATATACTCCATCTACTTAAAAAACTGTGGATTATTATAGTCTGCTCATTTTTGTTCCGACCATTTGAAAAATGGGAGGAGCTTTTATTCGGGTGTGTTTTAGTTTTTTGTCGTTTTTTGTTTTCTTTGCAAAATCAGCTACCACAAATAATCATCGGAGAGAGTTGAGTAATATATGAAAGAATTTTCAATCATGATTCGAACTACATTTAAAAATTTCAAAAAAACTTTACCAGTGTCGAGAAAAACCGGTTCGGAATCTTTGATTTTTTTGTCTTAATTCGAGCGAATAAAGCGAGCCAGCAGGCTTGCAGTAACTTCTTTTAATGGCTTAATAGCTTACAATAGATTAATTTAATCCGTGAAAATTTAAGTTTACTCGAGTGAAGTAAGTAGCTGTTAGTGACAAATGTTGTGAATGAAATTGTAAAAATGTAAATAAAAAAACTAGTTTTATGTAACTTATTTTAATTCGGTCGTCTCGGGATTCCATACTAGAGCGTTGTTTTTCTTGATTGCGGACTTGTTTCGAAATAAATTTTTAATCGAATTTTCTCTTTTCTGCACAGGTCCTGAAAAGCGGAAGTGCAAGCGAAGTGAAGAATGTGAGTTTCGAAGAGGTGGGTGTGGCCACAGTGAGTGTGAGGATGATTGATGTGAGTGGACCCACTTCACAAGAGGGAGATGACGAAATAGCTCTCGTCATCACACCCGTCATATGCTCAGGTAAGTTCCCAAGTAGTTGCATTGAAAAAACTTAAATGTCGCCTAGCGAGTTATTTTTAAAAATGAAATATTTAGCCCGCTTTTGAAAGTTTAAAATTTTAAATAAGAACCTCAAAAAGATTTTGAACATATACCATATCATCTGTCAATTTTAAAAGAAATTGTCGAGAAACTACCAGAAAAATAAACAACTTCAACCAGTTTTTGCTGCCTTCTTGATTTCAGCTCGCAGTTTCAACTGTAGTTAAAGCTTCCGAGATCTTATTTTTGAAGGAGCACATTTTTAAAAAGAAAAATATATTTTCACTGTCTAGAATTCATGACCACGAGTGAAATAACGAGCACTGGAATGACCACTACACAGACCACAGTGCGAACATCTACATCCAGAAGCACTCAGCAGTCCACAACCACAGTCATCACTACTCAGACAGTCACTCCTTGCGCGGGCATGACAAATGACACCGAGCCAATCGCCGTCGGAACCATCGAGGAGAAAAATTGTTCCGACTCAGAAATGAACACCGACACTGAAGAGGAGCTCATACTCTCCGACGACTCCGAGGTACGCATCGGAGTTTTAAAAAAGATTTCACGGCCAATTAACTCGAAATATTGCACTGAGGGTGTTTCAGTTTTTTTGCGAGGAAATTTGGCTTTGGTGGAAAAGATGAAAAAATAAAGGTTTCTTATCTAAAAGTTTTGGCTTGCCTCGTGTACTATCTTCTTCATTTCTGCATTTTTAAAATCACTATTAGACTACGCCTCATGGTTTTATGATAATGTCTTCAGGATCCCATATACTTGGACTCCATCTCCCTTGGCGGGATCCCTGCCGACCTTGAGGAGTTCGAGGTGTCAATCACTCTGGTAACACTGGATTTCGCTGGTGTCCCCGTGAACATGTTCCTGTCGTGGGACGAAGCCAGTGGAAATTTCAAGGAAGTCGAAACTAAAGAAGAACAAGTTAGTCATTCAAACATAATTACGTAATAAATTACGCAACATACGTTACAACTAATTAAGATTTCAGATTTATAGTAATGGTCAACAAAACGCTATCAATCTTTATCACCAATTTTAAATGGATCATTTGAGCTTCAAAAACTACAAAAAAGAATTCTTAAATTAAACTTAAACGCAAATTCAAAACAAAAATTTTAACGAAAGTGTTTGCGTTCTAAATGAAGTCAGTTTCAATTGTTTCCTAAATTTTACTTCGAAATTAACAATTCACTTTTTTTTCATTTCAGGTTGCTGTTGTGGTTGACATGACAGAACTCGTCTCTTCATCGCCCTCTAGCGACGACAAATCAACACCCTACATCACCGTCAGGAATGACTCATCTGTTCAAATTGCAGTGGGAAGCAACTTCGAGGGAGAGAGGGTGACCTCGTTCCCAGCCAACAGAGTCGTAATCTCTTTCGACCAATGCATTGAGTCTGACGTGGAGGTCAAGGCTTGCATGTGCGAAAAATGTAAGTGCTTTTTACACTGAATGTACACTATTCTCACATTTCTAACTTTTGTATAAGCGATCAGCAGCTGCTGTTTTTTGAAATTTTCGGAACTGTTGAAATTTTGAATGAAATTCATAAAAAATATTAAACCGATAGATATGCTGCTTTGACGATTAACGATAAAGACGAAATTTTTGAAAATGATTTGATTCGAACCGTCTATAGCTTAGGCATTTAAGAAATCTGTTCAAAAATGTTAGAATTGCGTGAGTTAACATACATCAGTTCATGATAATAGTAGGTATTACTGAACTGCTTTGAATTTGAAAAAAAAATAATAAAAATCTGGTTCAATTTTTTATTGTTCGTTTGCAACTTTTGGATGATACACCAGTTCGTAATTGGTGAAATAAAGTATCATCAGCCAAATAAAGTATCATGAACTTTAGCTTAAAAAATCTAGAAAAATTGCAATTCTGTCTCTTTTTTTTCAGACGAGACAACAACTGGCACTATGCGATCAACAACAGTGATTACAACTCAATCTACACCAACAGAGACCACAGTGATCACCTCATCCTCCACCACAAAGTCCACTTCTGTGACGTCATCTACAGTTTCCACCTCACAGACAACTGTAAGAGAAAGAAAAACTACGAAGCAAACATTTATTTATCTAACAATGTTGACACATCACATTTTAGAAATGCAAAAACTCTTTTAAACAAAAAAATGTATGAGAAGGGTATGAAAGCTGCTAAAAAGGTTTGGAAATCACAGACAAAGGCGAGGACGCAGCAGTTCAAATAGGAGATCTCAATCTCTTAAGAAATCGGGGGTTTTGGATAAAACTTTAGAAATGCGTGAAATAGTGTAATACATCGTGTTCAAATTAAGCATCCAGGAATGCGTTTCAGGCAATTCGTTTCTTAGGCATTTCGCTGCGACCGAATGGTCCTCTTAGGATCCCCTCTGGTTCAATGTTACCTGTAAATAAGTTGCATTTGGATCGGACAGAAAATACTGGTTACTTTCTTGTTACTTAATTGATACTCGACAGTTGAGAAAAACAAGGTAGTATTTTTATTTTTGTTTACTTTCGTTCATTGACTCTTTTCCCACTGTCTTTTGGCTATGTTTTTAAGTTTAAATCACAGCTAAATGCTGCATTAATACGTCTATTCAATTCTACTGATAATTAGGTGTACACGAGTAGTTCAGTTGAGCCGACTACAACAGTGGCACCCACTACCTTTAAGACGACAACTTTGGCACAGACGACATCAGGCGAAGGTACTTAACTTGTTCTCATCTCGATTCTTCTATTTGGATTTTGATAGGGCTTGGATTTTTGGGCTCATCAGAAGTTGAGAGTTTTTTTGGTTCGACCATTTGCCTCTTTCCTCCAAATTTCTTTTTTGAAAGATTGAAAATGTCTCTCTGGGTCTTACATGTCTTAGTAATCTATGGTAAATTGGATGATTGCATGCATGGTACTTCTAAATGAGTAGCATTTTTCAGCATTCGATTTTTTCGAGTTCTTAGAGCTCATATTTGCCGTCGTTTTTTTATTTGCTAAAAACAGTTTGGGTTTATTGTAAAAAATTTGTATGGGTAAATTAGACTTATTTTAGTTTCATCTACAACAATAACAACAACCCTACCTGGAGAAACAACAATGCCAGGAGAAACAACTGTGCCTGGAGCAACAACCGTGCCTGGAGCAACAACCGTGCCTGGAGCAACAACCCTGCCAGGAGAAACAACCGTGCCTGGAGCAACAACCGTGCCTGGAGCAACAACCGTGCCTGGAGAAACAACCGTGCCTGGAGCAACAACCGTGCCTGGAGCAACAGCCCTGCCAGGAGCAACAACCGTGCCTGGAGAAACAACCGTGCCTGGAGCAACAACCGTGCCAGGAGCAACAACCGTGCCTGGAGCAACAACCGTGCCAGGAGAAACAACCGTGCCAGGAGAAACAACCGTGCCTGGAGCAACAACCGTGCCTGGAGAAACAACCGTGCCTGGAACAACAACCGTGCCAGGAGAAACAACCGTGCTTGGAGCAACAACCGTGCCAGGAGAAACAACCGTGCCTGGAGCAACAACCCTGCCAGGAGAAACAACCGTGCCTGGAGCAACAACCGTGCCAGGAGAAACAACCGTGCCCGGAGCAACAACCGTGCCAGGAGAAACAACCGTGCCTGGAGCAACAACCGTGCCTGGAGCAACAACCCTGCCAGGAGAAACAACCGTGCCTGGAGCAACAACCCTGCCAGGAGAAACAACCGTGCCTGGAACAACAACAGTGCCTGGAGCAACAACCGTGCCAGGAGAAACAACCGTGCCTGGAGCAACAACCGTGCCTGGAGCAACAACCGTGCCAGGAGAAACAACCGTGCCAGGAGCAACAACCCTGCCAGGAGAAACAACCGTTCCTGGAGCAACAACCGTGCCTGGAGCCACAACCGTGCCAGGAGAAACAACCGTGCCTGGAGCAACAACCGTGCCTGGAGCAACAACCGTGCCTGGAGAAACAACCGTGCCTGGAGCAACAACCGTGCCTGGAGCAACAACCGTGCCTGGAGCAACAACCGTGCCTGGAGCAACAACCGTGCCAGGGGAAACAACCGTGCCTGGAGCAACAACCCTGTCAGGAGCAACAACCGTGCCAGGAGAAACAACCGTGCCAGGAGCAACAACCCTGCCAGGAGAAACAACCGTTCCTGGAGCAACAACCGTGCCAGGGGAAACAACCGTGCCTGGAGCAACAACCGTGCCAGGAGAAACAACCGTGCCTGGAGCAACAACCGTGCCTGGAGCAACAACCGTGCCTGGAGAAACAACCGTGCCTGGAGCAACAACCCTGCCAGGAGAAACAACCGTTCCTGGAGCAACAACCGTGCCAGGGGAAACAACCGTGCCCGGAGCAACAACCCTGCCAGGAGAAACAACCGTGCCTGGAGCAACAACCGTGCCTGGAGCAACAACCGTGCCTGGAGCAACAACCGTGCCAGGAGAAACAACCGTGCCAGGAGCAACAACCCTGCCAGGAGAAACAACCCTGCCAGGAGAAACAACCCTGCCAGAAGAAACAACATTGCCAGGTTTTTTGAAGATCAACAATTAAGTTTCAAAAATATGTTACTGTTCGAACAGTCAATTCTGATGTAAGCGTTTTGTTATTAGGAACAACTGCTCATGTCTGTATGGAAGAAGCTCTTGAATTAGACTCTGATGCTTTGACATTCTCTTTGTCAGACACCGATTTCATAGAAGTCTTCAACTTCGGAGTGAGTACTCGTTACTCGTTTTGCGAAGAGTTTCAAGTTATCTTAAAAGGATATGAACCAAAGCACACTTTTTTGAGGCGTTAGGCTAATCTCCTCCCTCAATATAAATGGCAAGATCAAGCAGTAAGGCCTGCATGTACTATGCTCAATTTTGATTGGCTGATAAGTATCTCCTCCCTAAATTGATTTAGGGGAGGGATTGTTCATTGGTCCTAAATTGGCGCTCGAAACGGATTTTTTGAGTTGCCTGATGGGAAAAAAATTACGGCCTTTTCTGATTGCAAGGGTAAACATTTTCAGTTTTTTACTCCTGTCTGTGACTCAGAAGTACTCATTTCACGACTTAAGATTCGGCGAAACTTTCGTTTGAGCAAAATTTAAACACCAAATTTTATCGTTGAAATGATTTATTATAATTTTGAGCTCATTTCAACGTTCGTTTTAAACAACCATTGAGGCTATTTAGGACGATGAGAAAAAACTGATGAGACTAGACTTTGAGTCTTCGGGAGATTCTGAAGGTACGTTCGCATTCAGCTTCCAGCTGCTCGACTCCGAGGGAGAAGTTCTGTTCGCTGCCGATACCGGATCAGGAAAAGACGCCGGCCCTGTTGTAAGTTCTAATTACACAACTCATCGCTAATAATTTATTTTCAAGAAGGGAACAGACACGTTTATTATTTACAAAACTCAACAATGAAAAAATCCCATCTTGGAAGAACCCCAAAAAGGCCAGTTAGCTGCCCAACGAACAGGTCTCTTTATATATATTTTTTCTTTCAAATGAATTACTACTACAGATATTTTTTGTATACATTAAACAATCAATAAAAAATCATTCTTTTTGCCAAACCACGTTGATAAGCCTTGCATAAAAAGAATTGGACTTTTCTTTCAGAAGGTTGCGTTATTTGGTTTTTTAGCAACAAATTTACTTAGCAACAAACTTTGAGCAACAAAATTTGTTGCTAACAAAAGCCTCTGTTAGCAACAAATTTACCGCTACAGATATATTTTGTGCATGTTAGCATTATAAATATCTGTCGTATTCAAAATTTTCTTTGTTGTATCGGTTGTAACTTTACTGACTCGATTTGTTAAAGTTTCATTTTTTGTTGTTTTTTATTTTTCCTTTTTCTTGGCTTCATAGGTTTCAGCCTATATTATCTGGGCTTAGTGGCCTCATATTGCGTTATACCGGTCGACGAGTGAAAATTTTGTGTGCGTGTGTGTGTATTTGTGTGTTATGAGGGTGAGAGGAACTATTGCCCTAAACTATTTTTGCCCTAAACTATTTCGACTTATTGGCATAATATTGCGTTGATTGGCGATCGATTTTGTTTGTGTGTGTTCTGAGTGTGAGAAAGATTTAATAACTTTTTATTAGTCATAAATTTTTTTTCGGCTTTTTGATTTTAGTTTTTTTTTCGGCTCAATAGGTTTCGGCCTATATTACATCGGTTAAGTGGCCTCATATTGTTTGATTTGAGGCTTGAATAAAGTTTTTGTTTCTGTTTGAGGATGAGGGGGACTGTTTAACTTTTTATAAGTCTTTTTGAATTTTTTCGGCCGTTTGAATTACTCGTATTCATTTTGATATTTCTAATTTTTCCGACTTTCGTATTGCGGTTGATTTTTTTTCGACTTAGCGGCTTTCTTGTTTTGTATCAGAAGTGGTGCTTGGCCTCTATGTACAATCATTCCTTTGCAATATAAATATTCAATTTCAATTCTCTCCCTTTTTTGGATATTCCAATAAATTCTAGTCATTATCTTGTTTTCGGTATTACACATCAATCCTAGCCATTGTTTTAAAAGTTTGAATCTTTCAGGTGCTCAAGCCCAATCCTACGAGACCATCGCAGTCGGCAGATAAAAGCGTAGACTTTGATGAATTGATGGTGTCGGTTCTCAAGATCAAACTTCTACGAGTCACGCCTGTTGCTAGTAATGGAGATGACATCACGCTCAAAGTGGCTCCGGTCGTCTGCGCAAGTAAGCAAATAGCTTGTCTCAATAAAATTTTTGTCGTTTTTTTGTATTTATTGATAGTATCTTCGGTTGAAAAAATAGCAAGGAGAATTTTATAAGCCAGAAGACATCTGAGATTTTGCAGAGGCTTCTCTTACTTAATAGCAATTTTTTTTCTGTTTATATCACGAAATGCTTGAAAACCTGCTACTGATATTCAGTGCAGCCTAATTGTTTTTTAAAAAATTTTAATTGTACTTTTTTCCAAAAATTTTTAGAACCAGTCACTAGCACCGAACCACCAGAAGTGACCACCGCTCCTCCCGAAGTGACATCAGGACCCCCAGAAGTGACAACTGCTCTTCCAGAAGTCACAACAGGACCCCCAGAAGTAACCACCGAAGAGTCAGAAACAACTCCAGGTTCGTAAAATTCAATTGTTCAACAATTCAATGTTAAGCAAGGGTGTTGAAATCGGGCATTAGGCGTGATGATTTTTTTTGTATTTTTTTTCAGGAAAAAGTCTTTAAATTTAATTACGCTCAATTTTGATTGTTCGTGGTTTGACTTTCGATTTATTTTCAATTTTACTTCAATTCATTTTTTTAAAAGGAAGGCAGACTCCACTAGCGAACAGCAAAAATGTAAAGGTCACAAAAAGCATGATCGACTTTAGTTGCAAAAGTGTACTACCAATCTTAATTTTCAACAATTCGGTCACATTCAGGGACGGATCTAGGATTTTCTCAAGGAGGGAGGGCAGATTTTCAAATTTGTCGACCTTTTTTTTAGTCTACCAAATTGATTTTCCGAGCACTTACAGAATACTATGAAGACCCTATTTTGTTCTGCGCCGCAGGCAAAATTTTGAAAAAAAAAACATGACAAAAAAAGCACTTTTTGAAAAATTTTGACCAAAAAATTGCGTTTTTTGGCGCACGCTCCTCTTCAAAATAAGTATATATTGGCGCCAAAGGCGCTTTCAGAACAATTTTAGGTTTAGTCGAAATGGATGTCATAAAAAAATACCAAAGATTGGTTGGCAGGTCGAATCCCTGAAAGGCGGGTCCGCCTCCCCTAAATCCGCCCCTGGTCACAGTCAATTTTTCTATTTTGTTCGAAACATTGTTGCAATATTTTGTATCTCACTAAATGTTTGTTGCCAGGAACAACAATAGAAATGACGAGCACTTCTACAATCACCCCTTGTGCCGAGGACGAGGAAATGAACGCATTGCCGCCTCCGACCAAAAGGCAACCATCCTCTAGAAGCACCGCATCATCTGGAACAACTGGACCAGTAGTCACTGAATCCGCTGGACAAACGCCTGTCAAACCATTTACACCAGCAACCGCGGGGCCAACAACTACCGGACCCGGTGGACCAACAACTACCGGTTCCGGTGGACTAACACCTGTCGGACCCGCTGGACCAACACCTGCAGGACCCGCTGGACCAACAACTGCCGGACCCGCAACTGCAGGACCCGCTGGATCAACAACTGCCGGACCCGCTGGACCAACACCTGCCGGACCCGCTGAACCAACACCTGCAGGACCCGCTGGACCAACCCCTGCCGGACCCGCTGGACCAACAACTGCCGGACCCGCTGGACCAACACCTGCCGGACCCGCTGAACCAACACCTGCAGGACCCGCTGGACCAACCCCTGCCGGACCTGCTGGACCAACACCTGCGGGAACCGCTGGACCAACAACTGCCGGACCAACTGGACCAACAACTGCAGGACCCGCTGGACCAACAACTGCCGGACCCGCTGGACCAACACCTGCAGGACCCGCTGGACCAACACCTGCAGTACCCGCTGGACCAACACCTGCAGGACCCGCTCGACCAACACCTGCAGGACCCGCTGGACCAACACTTGCAGGACCCGCTGGACCAACAACTGCTGTACCCACTGGACCAACAACTGCCGGACCCGCTGGACCAACACCTGCAGGACCCGCTGGACCAATACCTGCAGGACCCGCTGGACCAACACCTGTGGGACCCGCTGGACAAACAACTGCTGGACCAAGAACTGCCGGACCCACTGGACCAACACTTGCAGGACCCACTGGAAGCACAATCGTAACATCCGCTACTGCACCGGGATTTACAGTTTTAACGGCAACAGCGATATCCGGGAGCTCTGAAGCAACCGTTGCTACAGCACTTGGATCTACAGAAGTAACAGCCGCGACTCTGTCAGAAAGTACGGGCGCAACATTCGTCACTGGAAGCACAGGCGCAACCGCCGCTACTGTACCGGGAGTTACAGTTGTAGCGGCCACAGCGATATCCGGGAGCTCTGAAGCAACAGCTGCTACAGCATTTGGATCTACAAAAGTGACATCTGTTACTCAGTCAGAAAGGACCGGCGCAACATTCGCAGCTGGAAGCACAGGCGTAACCGCCGCTACTGAACCGGGAGTTACAGTTTTAACGGCCACAGCGATATCCGGGAGCTCTGAAGCAACAGCTGCTACAGCATTTGGATCTACAGAAGTGACATCTGTTACTCAGTCAGAAAGGACCGGCGCAACATTCGCAGCTGGAAGCACAGGCGTAACCGCCGCTACTGAACCGGGAGTTACAGTTGTAGCGGCCACAGCGATATCCGGGAGCTCTGAAGCAACAGCTGCTACAGCATTTGGATATACAGAAGTGACATCTGTTACTCAGTCAGAAAGGACCGGCGCAACATTCGCAGCTGGAAGCACAGGCGTAACCGCCGCTACTGAACCGGGAGTTACAGATTTAACGGCCACAGCGATATCCGGGAGCTCTGAAGCAACAGCTGCTACAGCATTTGGATCTACAGAAGTGACATCTGCTGCTGGAAGCACAAGCGGAACAGTCGCTGCTGCATCAGTAAGCACAGGGGCTACTGCTGCAACGGTTTCTGGAAACATGGGACCTACGGCTGCCATTCCAATGGAGTCCACGGAAGGCATAACTGCACCTCAGTCACGCAACACAGAAGCAACATCAGCTATCGGATCAACTGAGCCTGCTCAAACAGAACCTACTGGATCAACAGCTGTCAGACCCATTGGAATAAGTGGACCATCAACTACAGCACCCTCAGGATCAACACCTGCAGGACCCGTTGGACCAACACCTGCTGGAACCACCGGACCAATAACTGGTGGACCAACCCCTGCAGGACCTGGTGGACCAACCCCTGCAGGAACCGCTGGACCAACACCTGCTGGACCCGCTGGAGCAACAACTGTGGTAACCACTGGACCGACAACTGCAGGACCACCAACTGCAGGATCTGCTAGACCAACGCCTCGTGGACCCACTGGAGCAACATCTGCAGGACCCGCTCGACCAACAACTGCTGGAATTGCTGGGCCAACACCTGCAGGACCCGCTGGACCAACAGCTGCTGTGCCCTCCGGAACAACACCTGCAGCTCCCGCTGGACCAACAACTCCAGCACCCGCTGGACCAACAACTGCCGGACCCGCTGGACCAACACCTGCCGGACCCGCTGAACCAACACCAGCAGGACCCGCTGGACCAACCCCTGCTGGACCAACACCTGCGGGACCCGCTGGACCAACAACTACCGGACCGACTGGACCAACAACTACCGGACCGACTGGACCGACACCTGCCGGACCCGCTGGACCAACAACTGCCGGACCCGCTGGACCAACACCTGCAGGACCCGCTGGACCAACACCTGCAGGACCCGCTGGACCAACCCCTGCTGGACCAACACCTGCAGGACCCGCTGGACCAACACCTGCAGGACCCGCTGGACCAACCCCTGCTGGACCAACACCTGCAGGACCCGCTGGACCAACACCTGCAGGACCCGCTGGACCAACCCCTGCTGGACCAACACCTGCAGGACCCGCTGGACCAACACCTGCAGGACCCGCTGGACCAACACCTGCAGGACCCGCTGGACCAACACCTGCAGGACCCGCTGGACCAACACCTGCCGAACCGAGTGGACTAACAACATTATTTACACCCGAAGAAACAGGAGAAACCACAATCGTACCTGATGTCGGGTTTTATTGTTCGGAAGAAATGACAAGTACTGTAGAGTATGACTATGAAGTAAGTTCATCAAAATCGTTTGTTCAACGGCGGTTTGTTTTACTACGGCTGATGACGAATTTTGAATGTTTTTGAAAAAGAATTTTTTTTACGCATAGTTTCAACTAACCCAGTGAACATGGTTTACTCTACGTGTCTGTGATCGTTCCCGGCTAGTTTAGCAAACTGAATAGCTCATGTGTTCAGATTAAGCCAAAAGTTGGGCTAAATGAGCTGGAAAAGTCTTTTTTTTTTAAATGTCAGCTACTGAAATAAGTAGGCACTGAATTACAAATTTGAAGATCATAAAAAGCGAAAAGCACGGTAAAAATGGAATCAGGAAAACAAATTTATTCTAAATACTAAGAGCTGCAAAATTTTTGACTTTTGACTGCAAATTTGGTTACTGTGATCAATCTATAAATCGATTTAATGCTCTTGTTATTTGAAACTTGGTAAAAAAAAATCCTGGTACGTAATCATTTGTAAACTCGAAAACGGGAAAGAGTTCTGTTCAAAGAATACCGTGTTCATAATTATTGGTAAGCTCAAAGCCGGGAAAAATTGATATTCAAAAAAGTCATTCACATAGTCATTTGTGAACTCAAAACCCGGAAAAATTATGTGTAAAAAACGTGTACATAATTAATTGTAAACTCAAAAGCGGGAAAACTTGAATTTCAAAAAAATGTCGCGTACATAATCATTTGTAAACTCGAAACTGGGAAAAATTGAAATTCAAAAAAGTTGTTCACATAGTCATTTGTTAGCTCAAAACCCGGAAAAAAATTATGTTTAAAAAATGTGTACATAATTATTGGTAAACTCAAAACCGGGAAAACTTGATTTTTAAACAAATGTCACGTCATAATCATTTGTAAGCTCAAAACCGGGAAAAAATTTATGTTCAAAAAGGTCGCGTACATAATCATTTGTAAACTCAAATCGGGAAAATTTGATATTCAAAAAATGTCGCGTAGATAATTATTTGTAAAATCAAAACCGGGGAAACTTGATATTCAAAAATTTGTCGGGTACATAATTATGTTTTAAACCTAAACAGTTTTTTTAGCGCTTGAGACGTCTGAAAACAGACATAATTTGTCTAATGAAGATCTTCCTGGGATGATTTTAGGATGATTATGTATAAAATTATTTGTCGAGTGTGAAGCAATGCTGGAAACAATTTATTATGATGATGATTAAACCGTTTTGAGTGTTTCTTGTTTGCAGGAGCCAACAGCAGTGATGGAGATAGTTCTGTCAACTCCTGGAGTGTCTAAAGACACTGAGTTGCTGATCGAAGTGATCGACGAGAGTGGAGCTTCCTCCTTCTTAGCTCCAAGTGGAAACACAGTCCGAACTGTGGCTGCTACTTCAGCCGAGGTGAGTTGTAACAAAAAACGATGTCAAACCGTCAGTCATGAAACTTTCTGTTGCAATTGCATACAATTAGTACCTTCTGTAGTTCTATTTTTTATTTGGTCATATTACACCTTGACGTTTGGTTAGGTTCGAAAGAGTTTTTTTTAATACAGTTTGGTTCTTTAAATTTATAGACCCCATACAGTGATTTTTGTAGTTGGTGTGGCGGGGGGGGGGGTATTTGCTTTTTTATTTTTTTTATTTACCGAATAAGAACCAGTAAACAAAAATCATAAAAAATGGAATACATCGTTAAGAATTTTGGGTTTTTAGGAGGCATGGTTCTCAGTGGCCGCTTCTGGATCTCCCTCTGAATTCTTGATCAAGAACGACGACGACTCTCTGGAAATTATTGTGCAGTCACTCATCCTCCATGTCAAGGGATGTTCTGAAGGAATCATTGACATCGACCTCATTGGATGTTACAGTACGTTCAACTTCAATCAAGTTCAAAGTCTTCAATTAGAAGTTCAATTAAGTTCATGTGCAAAAAAAAGAGGATGCAACTAATTGATTCTATTAATTCTGCAGTTAATACTGGTGACGATGAGCATCCGAATCAGTCGAAAAACGGTGCTTTCCAAGTTAACTAAGTTTGTTGACACGTTTCTTACAATTTTACACTTGCGAGGCAAAGTGTATTAAGACGAACTTTAGACCAACCTAACTCGCAAATAAAAGTGCTACTTTTGGTAGCATGTAAATAACGCTAGGTGCAAGTAATCAATCGGAAAGCATAAAGCCACATTATGTATAAATTATTCATTTAAAAAATTGCGAGTATATTGAGTTAGAAAATTTCTTTTTTCGGTTCATTTGATGAATTAAAAATGCATCAAATGTGTTCACTTTTTACTTATCAAATGTCCAAGCACATATGACTTTATACTGCTATCGGAGCCTACCAATTCAAAAGTGCTACCAAAAGAAACGTGACAACAAACTTAGTAACTTTTGAATTGGTAGGCTGCGATGGTTCCCCCCTTTTAACTCTAAACAACTTAACACCCTACAGTTTCACTCCCTGCTTTTTGTTGCCTTAGCAATATAACATCGCTACATTTTAAAACAATTTCTATGAATTAACACCGTTTTAATCCAAAATCAAAAGAAAACTTACTTCAAAGGGGATTTCGGTAACCATCAAAGAATTAAACGAGAGAAATTTTTGCCATTTAAAGCCAGACAAATTTGCGCAACATAATTCGCGTAAGTTTTGAATAGAAATGACCTTGCAAATGATTTCAGTGAAACGTTTCAAACCAAAATGAAATGGCCTTGCCAATATTTTCAATGATTCATTCCAAAATGAACCAAAAGCAAGCAATAGTTCAATGAACTTCAAAAGCCCGCAAATAATTAGACGTCCTTTGACTAATATGGCCTAATTTTCTAGACATTTTCAGCCGGTGTAGAAATTAAAAAAAGGTTTAACCAATGCCAAAAAACTTAAAATCATTATTTTTAGAATCATTCTCGAACTTAAACTTATGACCTGATCGCTTTGTCAGCTTTTTTGAATTGTTGGCACATAAACGCAAAGCTAAAGGGTTTGCCAGCCCGTAGTCCCAACCTAGCATCCCGAAAATAAGGGCGATTGTCCTGGGATTAAATTGCTAAGGCACGAGTCATGTTCTTGCGTTTAGTTACGTTTCCGGGAGTCTGCAAGGAAACGTCTTTTCAAAAAAAGCTGACAAAAATTTCAGTAGGATTAAAATTTGAATTTTAATAGTACGAAAGAATAAACAAAAATGAAATAAAATTTACAATAGTTTAGCACAAGCTAGATAACGCTCTGAAAAAGTACAGATCAGTTTTGTCTTCGTAAACGGACATTATGTTTTGTACTCTTTCATTTAATACTCGATACTTTTTCTTTTTTGTGAACTTATGGCCACTCGATGCATCAAAAAAGTTGAGTTTTTGTACGGAAGCGTCTTTTTGCAGGCTACCCACTACTTTCCACATATTTGGGTGGGCTCCGCTGAAATATGATTGAATCCCGAAATGCCATCCCTTGACAGCATTTGTTGTTCGAGCAATCCCCATCACGGCCGCATCTCGCTGGTTCCAAAGGGAGGGTGGGAATGAAACTTCACGGTTTGGCACCAAGCTGTTTATATAAGTAGAGCCGAAGTACAGACACAACTCGTCAATTTTCTCAATTTTCTCGGGTTCTAAGCAACTTCTGTCGCATACATTTTGATTTTCCTGAATGATCATGTCATAGGAATCGCCGATCTTTTCTTTTTCTTCAAATGCAAGGGATGGCAGCATTTTTAAAGCCAGCGCTAAGTCGTGATTCGTTTCGTAGGTCACTTTCAGACCCAATTCAATAATTTTTCTCATGTAACTCTGAGTGAGATGGATAAAACAACCCGATAAATGTGCTTCGGGGAATGTTTTTTGGAAGGACTGAAGAGCAGCTTGCTCAAAATCGAACAAAATTTTTTCAGGCCGGCAGTTGGGTGCTAAATCAATTAAAGCCTGCAAGAAGCGATTGTAGGTTTTTTCGGTTTTGTTAGAGAGGAAGGCGTAAATGAAAGCTGGCGCAATGCCAGATACACTAACATGAATTTAATAAAGCTGATAGAACATTTTTGGAGTAATTTTGAAAGTTCCATCGGCTAACCAAAAAGATGACTTCTCCAGAACTCTCACCATTTCGGGGTCGCAGCACAAAATGATTCGCTCATGATCATTTGATCCACTGTCATACCGGATAAAATTTTCAAAAATTTCAGGGATCTCGAAATTTCGCGCAACGGGGATGGGCGGCATATTTACATCTAGCTGCTTACGAGTGCGAGCAGCCGTTCGGATCAGTTTGTCTTTACTTGGGAGAGCAAACTGAGTAGCCAAATCGTTTGTAATTGGCAAAACCGCACTGGCAACTGCAACAGTCGGGGTAAATCTCTCGCTGAGGTCTTTTATATGCTTTATGACATTTCGGGCCTCCGATTTTCCCGCTGAAATGTCGTGGTTATGCTCTCCACGCGTCTCGATTAGTTCGTTATTTTCAGTAATGGCAGTTGCTCGACATTTATGTGTTTGATATTTTGAGCAAATCCAGTTTTCTGTAAAACTTATTCTTTCGCTTGAAATAAAATTCGTGGCCGGACGCTATAAGGATTGGCTTGCTTTTAGATGAAACTGTGAATTCGAAAGAAGCCTCAATCATAATGTGTTTATTGTGTTTGCGTATGTTTATCACTTGAGTAAAGTATAAAGTGACTGTCAGAATTTAATTTTTGTCAGAATTTTTACGTCAAATTGTTTTGAATTAGCACAAGCAGCTTTTTTAGTAATCATAATGGTTTAGCGAAAAGTCTAATTGAAAATAAATTACAAACTTGTAGATAAGATTCTTAAGTAAATTAGGAAGCCTCCTTTTAGCATGTATAACTAAGATAAACCAAGTTTTTCATTATGGTGCGTGTGTTAATTGCAGGATTAACTTTGGTGTGATAAGAGTTAAGATAAGGAATTCATATAGCATTAGATTTAATAGTGAAATGACTAGGTGTTAAAATGTACTGTATTAAACTGGAAAATAGGCGTTATATTGTTGTCGATTCAAATTGTTTAGTAATGAAATGACTAAGTGTTAAAAAGTACGGTGTTAAATTGTATGTCATTAAACTGTAGGACACCGGCTGCGAAAGCAGTATAAAGTCTTATGTGCCTGGACATTTGATAAGGAAAAAATTGTTTCCAACCACATAACAATCACTGAAACTTGATTTCAGAAGCTTTCTAACTCAATATATCTCGCAATTTTTTGATATGAACAATTCATACATAATGTGGCTTTATGCTTTCCGATTGATTATATACAAAGTTGTGTCTTTTTGTATTTGATGCTGCTACTTTTGCTGCATCGAATTGGCAATTTATTAGCATACGTAGCTGTGTTATTTGTGGCTAGTTTTTGGGGATTTTAAGCCTCCGTGGCTGAGTGGTTAGTGCGAGAGACTCTAATTGGCTAGATCCTATTTTTCTTATTGGCTAGTTTTTTCTACTTTTTCTACTAATTAGGCCTTTTTCTACTTTATCTTATTTCACTTGATAGAGCTGCTTTTTGGTCGTGTTCTTGCAATTTTTGCAATGGGCAACTTCGCCTGTGAGAATTAAGTAAAAAATTGGTTTTTATTGTCAAAATGAGCAGTGTTAAATTAACTAATTTCATTCAGATTCATTGATTATTGTTTAAGAGTAATTCACGTGGTGGAGACTCTTATATAGGTTTGGTGTTTTTTTTTCAGGAAAAAGTCTTAACATTTTTAAAGCGAAATAAAAATTTACCCATTGATCCAGTTTGCTCAAATTGGGTTACTTTTATCAAAAAAGCACCAATCATAAATTGTTCTTGAAATTCAAAGTGCTTCATGTGCATGTTTTTTCTTCAATTTTCGAAAAATGAAGTTTTTTTTCCAACAAAAAGTTAGTTTTTTGTGTGTCCTTGCGTTGATTACTATTTTCTAGCTGTCATTTAGCGATGTTTATTGTTTTCCGAAGAGGATATTGAATATTTGATTACATACTAAAAGTTTTTATAATTTGACTCCAGGTAAAAAAGAATTATATTTGAATGTAAAAGAGAGTGCAGGCACTAATGATCAAAAGCGTAACTTTACAATGGTTTAAATGTTTCAGAACACAAACTTGGGGTTGAAACAATTGAAATTGTTCACTACTGTGGTCAATTCCGTACTCCGTCAATTTTTCAATGCCTTAGTCTTCTTTAAAGACTGCTGGATGTTTTAGAGCCAACAACGACATACGAGCAAGAATTCACAGAGACGACTGGAGAAACTATAACTGAAGAAATGACAACAACTATCACTGCAACTATCACACCATGCGAGAATGGAACTATGGAAACATTGCCACCTCCTACAAATGATTTCACTACAAGGACTCCTAAAGCTCTAAAAACTACTCCGTCATCTGAAGCCGAAGAAGGATCAACTGCTGGATCATCTAGGCCTACAGAAGGACCGATTGAAACGGCAACATCCGGACCCACACCTGCAGGACCAACGCCTACAGGACCCGCTGGACAAACAATTACCGGACCAGCTGTTACAACACCTGCCGGACCCGCTGGACCAACACCTGCAGGACCCGCTGGACAAACACCTGCAGGACCCGCTGGACAAACATCAACCGGACCCGCTGTACCAACACCTGCAGGACCCGCTGGACCAACACCTGCCGAACCCGCTGGACCAACACCTGCAGGACCCGCTGGACAAACAACTGTCGGACCCGCTGGACCAACACCTGCCGGACCCGCTGGACCAACACCTGCAGGACCCGCTGGACAAACAACTGTCGGACCCGCTGGACCAACACCTGCCGGACCCGCTGGACCAACACCTGCGGGACCCGCTGGACAAACAACTGTCGGACACGCTGGACCAACTTCTGCCGGGCTCGCTGGACTAACACCTGTCGGACCCGCTGGACCAACACCTAGAGGACCCGCTGGACCAACACCTGCAGGACCCGCTGGACCAACACCTGCCGGACCCGCTGGACCAACACCTGCCGGTCCCGCTGGACCAACACCTGCAGGGCCCACTGGACAAACTATTGCCGGTTCCACTGCACCAACTACTGTAGGACCAGCTGGACCAACGCCTGCTGGACCATCAGCAGCCACTGCTACAGAACCCTCTGGAACAACACCTGCTGGACCATCTGAACCTAGTGCAGTAGAAACATCTGGACCCACTGCTGCAGGACCTGTTGGATCTACGGAAGTAACAGTAACTCTACCAGAAAGCACTCGGGCGACTGCCGCATCTAAAGCTGGAATAACAGGACCTACACTTGGTACTCCAGTTGGTTCCACCGAAGGAGCAGCGACTCAACCAGAAAGCACAAGAGCTGCGGGGGCTACCGTAAGTACTGGTGCCACATTTGCAACTCAACCTGAAGGCAATGGTGCAACAGCAGTTTCACTATCTGGAACTACCGGAGTAACAAGCGTTACTGAAGCAAGCGACACCGCGCCAACTGCCGCATCTGTAGCTGGAAAAACGGTGCCTACAGCTGGTTCTCCAGTTGGTTCTACGGAAGGTGCAGCTACTCAACCAGAAAACACAGGAGCTACGGGGGCTACCATAAGTTCTGGTGCCACAGTTGCAACTCAACCTGAAAGCACTAGTGCAACAGCAGTCTCGCAATCTGAAATCACAGGAGTAACCAGCGCTACTGCATCAAGCAATGCCGCGGAGACTAAAGCATCTGTAGCTAGAACCACAGGTCCTACATCTGGTACTTCAGTTGTTTCTACGGAAGGTGCAGCTACTCAACCAGAAAGCACAGGGGCTTCGGGGGCCACCATAAGTTCTGGTGCTACAGTTGCAACTCAACCTGAAAGCACTAGTGCAACAGCATTCACGCTATCTGAAACCACAGGAGTAACAAGCGTTACTGAAGCAAGCGTCACCGCGCCAACTGCCGCATCTGTAGCTGGAAAAACAGCACCTTCAGCTGGTACTCCAGTTGGTTCTACCGAAGAAGCAGCGACTCAACCAGAAAGCACAGGGGCTACGGGGGCCACCATAAGTTCTGGTGCCACAGTTGCAACTCAACCTGAAAGCACTAGTGCAACAGCGTTCACGCTATCTGAATTCACAGGAGTAACAAGCGTTACTGAAGCAAGCGTCACCGCGGAAACTGCCGCATCTGTAGCTGGAATCATAGGACCTACAACTGGTACTCCAATTGGATCTACGGAAAGAGCAGCGACTCAATCAGAAAGCGTTGGAGTTACTGAGGCTACCGTTAGTGCTGGCACCACAGTTGCAACTCAATCGGAAGGCACTGGTGCAACAGCAGTTACACTATCTGAAATAACAGAAGTAAGCGGCGCTACTGGACTAACTGTCGGACCTGCTGGAACAACAACCGTCGGACCCGCTGGACCAACACCTACAGGACCAACAACTGCTGGACCCGCGGGCGCAACTCCTGCAGGACCCGCTGGGCCAACACCTGCAGGACCCGCTGGACCAACAACTGCAGGACCCGCTGGACCAACAACTGCCGGAACCGCTGGACCAGCAACTGCAGGACCCGCTGGACCAACAACTGCCGGAACCGCTGGACCAGCAACTGCCGGACCTACTGGATCAACACCTGCAGGACCCGCTGGACCAACAACTGCCGGAATCGCTGGACCAACAACTCCCGGATCGACTGGATCAGCACCTGCTGGACCAACACTTGCAGGACCCGCTGGACCAACAACTGCCATACCCGCTGGACCAACAACTGCCGGACCCGCTGGATCAACACCCACAGGACCCGCTGGACGAACGACTGCCGGAATCGCTGGACCAACAACTGCCGGACCGACTGGATCAGCACCTGCTGCACCAACACTTGCAGGACCCGCTGGACCAACAACTGCCATACCCGCTGGAACAACAACTGCCGGACCTGCTGGATCAACACCCACAGGACCCGCTGGACCAACGACTGCTGGACCCGCTGGACCAACAACTGCCGGACCCGCTGGGCCAACAATTGCCGGACCCGCTGGACCAACAACTGCCGGACTCGCTGGATCAACACCCACAGGACTCGCTGGACCAACAACTGCTGGACCCGCTGGACCAACAACTGCCGGACCCACTGGATCAGCAACTACCGGACCCGCTGGACCAACAACTGCAGGTCCCTCTGCACCAACAACAGCCGGACCCGCTGGACCAACACCTGCAGGTCCCGCTGGACCGACAACTGCCGGTCCGACTGGACCAACAACAGCTGAGAGCGAGGGTACGACAAATGAAATTACTGAAGAGACAACGTCGGAGTCCTTGAGTGAGGGTAGTTCAACAGTAACTATGTGCGAACCAGAGATTGGATTCCTCTGCGACGAGGATATGAGCTCTGAAGAACTATCACGATACTCATACGAGGTTTGTTTCAATTGCATCGTTGTTTCTTTTTTTCCTCTGAAGAAGTTTATAGGCCAACTGTTGGAAGAAGTGTTTAGGTCAACTCTCCAACCAGAAAATTTTACCTTCAGTTTCGGTATCGGATATTGATTTTTCGCGGACAGATCCTGTTTTCTCAAAATCGAATTGTTTTGTCCAAAACAGTTTCAATTGTAAACAGTTTCTAATACTAGTTTGGGGCCTATTTTTTTAACAACTTCTCATACTTGAATTCACAATCACGAAGAGTTTTTCGCTTCCATTCATTTTTTGACATCTGTGAAGAATTGTGAAAAATTGTCCGTTTGGATTCAAGTTTAATTAAAAAATCTCTCTGTACTAACGCCATGCGCAAGCAGAGAATTAATTCGCTCGAAAGATCATTCCGAAATTTTGAAGCTAATATTTATCTCGACGGAAATTGTAATCACCAAGACTACCCGTGTCGAGCCAGATCCTTGATTTTCCAATTGGCCTTCAACCTGTGCGCTTGAAATGTTTATATGTTCCAAAAAAATTGAATTGGGGTCATGTTCCTATTTTGTTCCGACCACTTTGCGAAAGGGGAAGGAACTATGGCGTAGGTTGTGTTTTTTCAACGCGACTACCTCAAAAAAAAGCTCGTATTGGGGTCAAGCGTGGAATCATATCAAAGCTTTTTTGGCCACGGTTCAGCTGTTTTTTGTCTAATTCTTGTTATTCATTCAACAATTAGGTTTCCTTCCCACTCACTATTTAAAAAATATATATATAGCACCAAAAAATTATTTAGGTTTTTCTACTTTCTATATATTTTTGTTTAAAAAATAAAAGTAACGACAGAAATGATCTTTAAAACGTTAGATTGGGTCGAGTGATACATTTTTATAAATCTTTTTCAATGTTTTTCAGTGAAGAGCAAGCAGATCACCTTTTTTTGCTTTTTATTTTCGTGTAGAGAGAACTTTGCCATTTTTAATGTGTTTTCTTTTTTAAGATTTTGGTAGTTTTTCCAGGCTCGTTTTCAGTCCGTGTCCCAGTACGCAGAAAAAATTATGAACGATTTGCATTTCGAATTCGTTTTTTTAAGTGCTCGAAATTTTTTGTGATGCTTGCACATTAACCGGCTAAATTTTTTTTAGTTTAAAAACTTTTTATCGTGTAAACACGTCAAAAAAGCGTTAAGTTTGATCTTGCTCAAATTTATTTTTTCGAAGTTTGACTTATGGTTTGTTTTAAACTCAAATAATTTTCATTTGCTAAATAAAAGACAGCTTACGGTTTTCAATTATGCATGTGAAAATTGCGCGAAGAACTGAATGACTTTCCGGCTTTCTGGCGAAATCAGATTTTCTAACGCAATAAAAAAATGCCTTTTGACTGCCCATTTTTCTTTATTTTGGGTTAGTTTCATGAAAGAATTCCGACTCATTTTTACTTCCCACACATGTCCGTTTATTTTTCCGACTTTCGTAACAAAAGTAAAGGAATATTTGTGCTCGGGGAGGGTTTTTTCTTCAGACAAATTTCGGCGTTTTAACTAGCCATTTTTGACGGAATTTTTATATCATTCAAAAATTATTGTTGTCTTGAGCTTAAATGCGAAACCTGTAATCTTTTTTTTTAAAGTTATGGGGGGTTTAAAGAATGCCATTTTGGCCAGCTTGGGGCAATTGACGCGCGATATATTTTGCGCCATTAACGCTTAAGCCGAGATTTAATCCGTCGTAGAAATCGTTCTAAATTGGTTAAAGGAAGCTAGCTTATTTGTTAGTAGTACCGAAATCTATCACTATGTACTTTATATGGCGTGTGAGAGGATGATTTTCACAAAAGATATCAATTAAAATAATCTTTTTTTTTTACATTTAATATTTTCATGTTATTACTGCTCCATAGACCTTAAAAGGTTGTCGGAATATTCAGGGCTTCGCCCTGATACGAGCAGTTTTGTTTTTGTAGTTGTTTTTGCGTGTATTTATGGCTAAACGCGTAAAGTTACAATGCAAGGCATGAAAAGCAACTTGGTTTGCGATGCCAAATTTCATTGCATTATGACAAGATGGGATTGGAAAAGTGCCAATTATAAAATACCATTGAAATCAAAAAGCTTTAACGTGATGTTTTTTCTCTATATATTTTTTTCAAAACCAGTTCCACAAATACCTGAGATTGCTGTTTGTGCGTTTCCTGTATGCAAATTTGAGTTTGAAGCGATGGAAGGGATAGATTTTGAATAGATAGGAATTGAATAGATTTTATCCATTTTGAAGTTTTTACAACCTTCAAACGCTCATAACTTTCCAAACACTAATCACACGCAAATACTATCATTGTTCTTAGCTAAAGCCTTGAGCTTTTCTGTTGGTTTGAAAAAGTTCGTCAAAAATTATATTTTCTAGGATCTCTTTAACCCCCCCCCCTCTTTTGAGTAACGAATTGCCAGCTCTATAATGAAATAATTCAACGGTTGTAATATGTGAATTTTGTACCTTTTTCAAACGGCGCGAAACAGTTGAGTTGATGAGATCCATTTTCTATCACCAAAAATGGCCTGGAGAAAAAAAAACATTTCAAAGTTGAAGCAGAAGTTAATTAGCCTGAAATCTTCCCTGTAGCTGATATTCTCAAACTGGGAATAAAATATATCAAGGTATCTCGAAAAATTTCTTTGTTGTGTATCACATTGTAATCTTGAATTAAACACTGTCTCGTATTTGAAAGAATCAAAACCGTTTGATGCCAAATAAGCTAATGAACGCCAAAACGTCAAAAAAAAGGTATGAAAAAAGGTTCCATCTGTTTTCCTTATTTGAGCAATGAGTTTTGTACTAACTATAAGGGTTGTAACTGTTTGGTTATTTCAGGATCCACAACTAGTGATGGAGATCTCTTTGGCAGTAACTAACGTCACAGACACGACTGAATTGCTCATAACGTATTACGACGAAGAGGGAACCAAATTCTATCTCGACCGAGTCGGAAACTCTGTGTTTGAAAACATCGACGCATCTTCACCAGAAGCAGCTGCCAGCGTATGTGCACACATCATTTAATTGCCCACATTTTAATTTTTTTTTTCATTTTTACTCTTTTCTTGAAATTCTTTTCATTTTTTTAAATAAATTTTGTGACTATTATCAATATTGTGAGTGTTTGGTTAAGATTTAGTTTTCGTTTCATTTCAATTTTTTTAAGATGCCCTTACTCCAATGGTAAGAAATAATTGTTCAAGAATTGATGAAACTTGTTTTTTTATTATTATTTTCTTAAGAGTAATCAACGTAGTGACGACTTTATACAGATCTTGGTGATTTTTTCATGTTTTTTTTCAGGAAAACGTCTTTAACTGCTCCTATAACTAGAGATGTGAATTCATTCATAATAATTGCGTTTTTGAACGCTTTTAGGCAGGCGCGGATATAGGATTTGCTCGAGGGAGGGGGAGGATTTTCAAAAAAAAAATTTCGAAAATTTTGTCGACCTCTTTTTTTAATTCGACGAAATTTTTTTTTCTGAGCTCTCCTAAAGCAGTACAAAGACTCTGTTTTGGCAAAACTTTCTACGCCGCAGGCAAAATTTTGAAAAAAGAGACCTAAAAAGGCGTTTTTAGACACGTTTTGGAAAATTTTGACCAAAAAATCGCGTTCTTTCGGGGAGCGCTCCCCCCTTGAAATTAGTATACATTGGCGCCAAATGCGCCTTTAGAAAAATTTAGGGGTCCGACACCAAAATTGGATATCTCAAAATAGTACAAAGGGGGACCCTTTGGGTCGGTAGGGGGTCGAATCCTTGAGGGGGGGGGTGCGCCCCCCCCCCCCCCTAAATCCGCCTTGCTTTTAGGTGTATATGCACTTTTTGAGCTCAATTCAAATTCATCTGAAAAGTTTAGGTAAATAGCACTCTCCAAATACGAACGTGGAAGCGGCGCGAAAAAACGTGAACGACTTCTAGTTTCGAAAGTTGGATTTAATTTTTAGATTTCCCAGCGGAATAAATATTTTACCTATTAATCCAGTGTTCTCAAATAGCGCTAATTTTATCAAAAAGGTATCATACATAATTAATCTTGAAATTCAAGGTTATATATTTTTACTTTGAAATTAGAAAAAAAAATTCAAAATTAGGTCATTTTTTTTCTCTGTTTCGTTCATTACTCTTTTCCAACTGTCAGTTGGCTATGTTTTTTAAATTTTTTTGATGTTTCGTCCTCATCAGACGACCAAAAACATCTACAATTAACTAGCAGATTAGGTATTTTAATGTTCTGAAAAGTGCCCATTGAAATAAGATTGTTTCCGCCGTTTCAGCCGAAACCATGGTTCAGTATAGGAGGTGATGACGTTCCTGCTTCAATCTCATTCGCGAATGAGGAGAATACGATAGAGATCAAGACTCTCGTCATTGAGATCAAAGGATGCTCCGAGGGATTGGTGGAACTGAATTTGATCGGATGTTACAGTGAGTCGCATTTGCCTAGTTTTCCTCTATTTTTTTTGAAAGGAGAAATGGTGTTTTCAAATAGCGAAGCATGTTTTTAATTAATTTTTTTTTCGAGTTTCTTAAATTCTTTTACACTTTTCATACATATCTGTTGGCTCTGCTTCTTATTGCTCCGTAGCACCGAATGTGAGGAAGAACTTTGTGTTCTGTTTTTTTTTTCATGCAAAATCAGGTACCACAAATACTCGGAATGGGTCGAGTGATATATCATATTACAGCCCTTTCAATAGTGATTCAAACAAACGACAATAAAAAGTTTTCAAAAATTGCCCGTGTCGAGAAAAACTCAAATATTTGTAAAGTCAACTATTGTTGATCATGTTGAACTAAATAGTTTTATACTCGCTCGCATAGTTCTCGATTCACACCATCCGCTAAAAACTACACCAATTTGAAAAACAGGAAAAAAAAACTTTTTTCTATTTTTTTGTAAATTTGGTCTGAAAATTCTGAGCTACTTGCAAAGAAGCCGGCTATCCTTGAACGTAGTGAGGATACTTATATACGTCTTGTTGGTTTTCTTGTTTTTTAAGCTGTCACACTGGAACTTAATTGTTTGCTGTTTGACTTCTATTTTTCAAATTCAATTCACGTTCATTCACGCTTCCAGCTTGGCTTTCATAGAAAGAGTTACATCGCTTTCAACTCTTTCTAAAAATTATTTTTCTTTTTTTTGCGGATAAATTAACTAGATTAATTAAACAAGGGTAGGAATTGTCTTCACTTAAAGACTCTAAGGGTAGCACCAGGAATTTATGTAATGAAACTATTATTTTGATTGGGTTTCATTGTGAGATGAAGGAATGTCGTTTATTCTTTTATAGAACCTGGCACAACAGTTGCTGAAACAACTGAAGGACCTACTGAAGAAACGACCACACCTGAAGGTAAGTTGAAACCGTATTTTTTTAAGGCCATTACTGGACCACTTTTGTGACTAGTAACATCTATAGCTTAGCAGGGGTAGATTTAAAAGGGGATGCGAGGATTTGGCACCATCATCGCCAAAAGGGTATTGGTACAACGAAATCCATTTTTGGCAATTGAATTGAAATTTAGAAGAAACGACAATGACATCAACAATTACACCATGCGCTGACGAAGAAAACATGACGTCTCTTCCACCGCCTACTGTCATATATTCGTCAACATCTGCACCGCCTTCAGCAGTGTCCTCTCTGGAACCAGCTGAAGAAGTTGAGCAAACCACTACTGCCGCGCCATCGGAAAAAGAAGTACCTTCAGCAACCGCCCCTGCTGCACCCACAACGACTGGACTGGAAGGGCCAAAATCTTCCAAACCCGCTGAACCAACACCTGTAGGACCATCTGGACCACCCACTGCTACCGAACCCTCGGGAATAACAACTGCAGGACCATCTGAACCCACTGTTGCAGGACCTTCTGGACCCACTGCTGCCGGACCATCTGAACCCACTGTTGCAGGACCATCTGGACCCACTGCTGCAGGACCATCTGAACCCACTGTTGGAGGACCATCTGGATCAACTGCTGCCGGACCATCTGGACCTACTACTGAAGGGCCATCTGGTCCTACTGCTGCCGGACCTTCTGGAATAACAAATGCAGGACCATCTGGACCTACTGTTGCAGGACCATCAGGACCCACTGCTGCCGGACCTTCTGGAATAACAACTGCAGGACCATCTGGACCCACTGCTGCAGGATCATCTGAAACCACTGCTGTCGGACCATCTGGATCCACTGCTGCCGGACCATCTGAACCCACTGTTGCAGGACCATCTGGACCCACTGCTGCAGGACCACCTGAACCCACTGTTGCAGGACCATCTGGATCAACTGCTGCCGGACCATCTGAACCTACTACTGAAGGGCCATCTGGTCCTACCGCTGCCGGACCTTCTGGAATAACAACTGCAGGACCATCTAAAACCACTGCTGCCGGACCATCTGAATCCACTGCTGCCGGACCATCTGAATCCACTGCTGCCGGACCATCTGAACCCACTGTTGCAGGACCATTTGGACCCACTGCTGCTGGACCATCTGGATCCACTGCTGCAGGAACATCTGGAGCCACTGCTGTTGGACCATCTGGAATAACAACTGCAGGACCATCTGGAACCGCTACTGCAGGACCATCTGGACCCACTGCTGCAGGACCAATCGGATCTACGGAAGAAAGAGTGACTCCAAGAGAAAGCACCGGAGCAACTGCCGCATCTGTAGCTGGAATAACAGGACCTATACCTAGTACTCCAGTTGGTTCTACCGAGGGAGCAGTGACTCAAACCGAAAACACAGGAGCTACGGAGGCTACCATAAGTGCTGGCGCCACAGTTGCAACTCAACCCGAAGGCACTGGTGCAACAGCAGTTACACTATCTGAAAATACGGGAGTAACAAGCGTTACTGAAGCAAGCGTCACCGCGCCAACTGCCGCATCTGTAGCTGGAAAAACAGTACCTTCAGCTGGTACTCCAGTTGGTTCTACCGAAGAAGCATCGACTCAACCAGAAAGCACAGGAGCTACGGGGGCTACCGTAAGTGCTGGAGCCACAGTTGCAACTCAACCTGAAGGCACTGGTGCAACAGCAGTTACACTATCTGAAACCACAGGAGTAACAAGCGTTACTGAAGCAAGCGTCACCGCGCCAACTGCCGCATCTGTAGCTATAAAAACAGCACCTTCAGCTGGTACTCCAGTTAGTTCTACCGAAGAAGCAGCGACTCAACCAGAAAGTACAGGAGCTACCCGGGCTACCGTAAGTGCTGGAGCCACAGTTGCAACTCAACCTGAAGGCACTGGTGCAACAGCAGTTACACTATCTGAAAATACCGGAGTAACGGGTGCTACTGTATCCGCAGAAACATCTGCAACTACTGAAGGAATAACAGTCAAAACCGCTGCACCAGCAACTGCCGCAACCGCTGGACCAACAACTGCTGGCACCGCTGGACCAACACCTGCAGGGCCCTCTGGACCAACACCTGGCGCACCCATTGGAACAACTTCTGCCGGACCCGCTGGACCAACACCAACACCTGTCGCGCCCGCTGGACCAACACCTGCTGGACCCACTGGACCAACAACTGCGACACCCGCTGGACCAACAACTGCAGCACCCGCTGGACTAACCCCGGCAGGACCCGCTGGAACAACAACTGAAGGACCCGCTGCACCAACACCTGCAGGTCCCGCTGGACCAACCCCGGCAGGTCTCGCTGGACCAACCCCGGCAGGACCCGCTGGACCAACACCTGCTGGACCCACTGGACCAACAACTGCCACGCCCGCTGGATCAACAACTGCAGCACCCGCTGGACCAACCCCGACAGGACCAGCTGGAACAACAACTGAAGGACCCGCTGCACCAGCACCTGCAGGTTCCGCTGGACCAACCCCGGTAGGACCCGCTGGAACAACAACTGAAGGACCCGCTGCACCAACACCTGCAGGTCCCGCTGGACCAACAACTGCCCGATCCGCTGGACCAACAACTGCCCGATCCGCTGGACCAACGCCTGTTGCACCCGCTGCACCAACAACTGCCGGACCCGCTGCACCAACACCTGCTGGACCCGCTGAAATTACACCTGCCGGACCCGCTGGACCATCAACTGTTGGACTCACTGGACCAACAACTGCTGAACCAACACCTACTGGACCCGCTGGATCAACACCTGCCGGACCCGCTGGATCAACACCTGCAGGGCCCGCTGGATCAACCCCTGGAGGACCAGCTGGACCAACAACTGCTGGACCCGTTGGACCAACAACGGCTGGACCCATTGAACCAATATCTGAAAGACCCAATGAGTCCACTACTGCTGTATCTAACTTGCCAAGCACGATCTCTGCTCCAGATGTTGGCTACAGCTGTGATGCGTCAACAGCTAACAAACAGTATACGACCTACAGATACGAAGTTAGTTTATTGCTCTGAGGGTTTCTTTTTTCAGTTTTTTGGAGATGGCAATGATGAAAAAACATCATGGATTTCCATGAAATAAAGTATCCTGTTTTTTGTTTAGTGGCAATTTTTGTTTTTGGATGAGAACTTTGATTTGATATAGAAAATAAAAAGGTTATTAAGAGCCAATGAAAAAAGTGAAGATACTTAATCAGGTCTTATTGTTTTTTTTTCTGCAAAAAGCCTGAAGTTTATATTTCCAGTAAAAATTCCCAAATTTTGTTCACGCTCAGAATCATTTTTTGCGGTTTGATTGTTGATTTGAAATCATTTACTGCACGGAGTAAAGTTAAGCTCTCCAATAATAAAAAACGCAAGAAGAATGGCTCGAAGAAAGGTAAATAATTTTGCTTAAAAAATTGATTTTATTTACTAGTTTTCCTCAAATTGGGTTAGTTATTTCTAACAATGTCCAGCATCAAAAATTTTTGTTATTTAAAGAACATTTTTTTGTTAAAACAAATTGAATAAACAATTGTTTTTCTTTGATTTTTTTGAAATCATTAACAATTCTCCAGCTGTCTGTTGGCTATGTTTGGAATATTATATTTTGAAAAGTTGTATTTAAATTCTGTCTAAATGCAATTTTTTCTCAGTAATTTTTATGGGCCTTTGTGAACAATCTCCCACCTTAAAAGACCAAGTGGATAATCTCCCCCCTTAGAATTAAATGGCTATTTCAAACAGTAAAGCCTTCACGTGTTATGCGTCGGATGTGCCTTCATGGGTCGGATGTTTTTAAGGAACTTTTCCGTATACTTATTTTTTTAAATTGACTGGTACTGCTAATGCGTCATAAATTGGCTAGCGTCACTTATCAATTATGTAGACTCATAATTGGCGTGCGTCTTTTAAGAAATTTTGTAGACTCAAATTTTTGCGCAATCAGTGTTTTCTAGTAGCGTTATCGGTCATATTTTTGCTTGCGTATGCGAAGTGCAACTTCGCTTCTGTGTAAAAATTGTGTCTTAATGCTATTAATTTTTTAAGCGAATCTTTTATTGTTCCGACCATTTGAAAAATGTGGAGGAACTTTGTATTCTGGTGTTTTTTTCTTCTTTTTGTTTTCAAAACATTATCAAGTTCTAAAAACAATCATCGGAATGGGTCGAATGATATAGTATTTTACAGCCCTTTCAATCATGATTGAACGACAAAAAAGTTTTTTGAATTTTTTTCCAGTGTTGAGAAAAACCAGTTTGAAATTTTTGAGTTTTAGTCCAGTTTCGAGCAAATAAGACGATTTAGTCGAGCGACCGAGTAACGATCGTTATATTGAACTATTGGCCATTTAGGCTAAAAAACACTTAATCGTACTAAAAAAGAAAACCACTTTTGCAAGCTTCATTGAGCGCTTTCTTGGCACTAAAAATTTTCATGCAAGTTTAAAGTTTTTAGTGCAAAAAATTTGGAACATTTAGGAGATTTTTTGAATGTTTTTCATTTTTTCGCTTATTTTTTTGAAGACAATTGTAATTTTTATACCTAATTTACTAATTTTATACGCGCTTGTCTAGTTCTAGAATCACACCACGCAGAGGGAATGGCGGTAATTTGAAGATTTAAAAAAATGTTTTTTTTTTGTATTTTTTTTACGAATAAGGTCGGAACATTCTCTGCTACTTGCACAGCAACCGGCTATCATCGTTTCAAAATGTTTGTTTCAAGTTTCGACTTAACGTTGTTTTTTTAAATGAATTTTTAATTGCTTCGACCATTTGAAAGTTTTAGCTGTTTTTTTTTTGTTTTCCACGCAAAATCAGATACCACAAATAAAAACTGAAATGTGTCGAGTGATATAAAATATTGAAGCTTTTTTAGTAGTGATTTGAACGACATTCAAAAATGTTTAAAAAATTTTCTGAATGTCGAGAAGACCCGTTTTGAAGTTTTCGATTTTTGGTCTATTTTCGAGCTAATAAATTGAACGTGAAAGCTTAGAAAGCTTATTCAACCTTAAATTAAGCCGTGAAAGCTTATTTCTACTCAAGGGAAAAAAACTAAAGTTAGTTTTTGGAGTGTTTAGTGCCATTTTGAGAATCAAAAATTCAAAAACTAGAAAAAATTGTTAACAAGTTTTCAATTTTTTTTTCAAATTTTCCAACTGGCTTATTTGACTATGTCTTTAGCATTTGCCCAGTTTTTACATTTCAGTTCAGATTTTTTCACATCACATCGAAAAAAACGACACTAATTTGATTAAAAGTTTTTGTGTTTTTTTAATACTATGGTCGAACATTCTGTGTTTCTTGCACATTAACCGGCTATCCTTGCTTCTCTTTGATTTTTTTAAAATTTCGTCCCAATGCACTTATTTTTTTTAAGTGAACCTTTTTTTATGTTTTAAATGTTTTTTTTTGTGTCCAAATGTTTTTTTTCCAATTTTTCTTAAAAAAGTTATTTTGTCTAATTGAATCTTTTATTTCTTAATGTTTTCTTTTAACTTTGTTTTAATGCAGTTATTTTTTGTAAGTGAATCTTTTTGGTCTCATTGTTTTTTTAATTTGGTCTAAATGCAGCTTTTTAAATGTCTTTTAGGAGCCTGTGGCTGTGATGGAAATAGTGCTCGGCCTTTCTGAAGTGAGCGACGGCACGCAATTGATGATCAGTTTCACTGACTCGGACGGCAAAGTGTTCGTTCTGAATCCAAACAGCCCAGACTTGTCCTCATTTGAACCCAGACTTGAAGCTGATACTGCCGTAAGTGGAAGAATACCTCATGCGCGAAGGACTGGATGCGCAAAAATTTTGTCAAACAATTAGAGCTCAGTTTTCAAAATTCGAAAGAAATAAGCGATAAGTTCATCGATCAGATTTGCATAGTGTAAAAGGCGTTGATTGGTTAATAATTTTTGCGCAATCGGTCATTCGCGCATGAGAATGCCCCGCGTAAGTACAAAGCACATTCATGAGCTGCAGCAAGTTCTGAAATCTTTCTCACTACTGTCGTTTTTTCTACGTTTCTACAAAAAAATTGTTCAAAATTGATGTCACACTGCTTTGCGTATACCAAAAGTGAGACTACTGGCATCTCAAAATGATCGCTATTAATTCGCATTATCATGCTGTTTTTGTTTTGAGCAATCAAACTTCAATTATTAGTAGTTATCTTAAGAAAAATTCTAAGGTAGCAAAAATTGTATGCGACCATAACAGAACATTAACAGGGCCTTTGATGAGTCATGTTTTTGCTTGGAGTTTTTTGTTGTTATTATTCAGCTGGTAGCTGTTTTTAATGAGGATTCTTGCACGCCCCTTGTTGTATTTTTTGAACTCTTGCTGTGTTACAAGTATATGATAGTACGGTCTTAAGAAAAAGCAAGTATGAAAGATGGGTCCCGCCTTTTTTTGTGAAAATCTCCAAAACGAACGAAAACTATTGCAAACCCACTTTCAGAATAATTTGAACAACATTAATTTTTCTCTAGTGACCCATCTAGGTTTTATGGACCATCTGTCATCTATCATATTTGTACCCTTGCTTTCTCTGGCGACTTAGTTCGAGAAGTTTATATTTTTCCGATCCAGGTCCCACCTTTGTTCCCCGTGTCTGGAAGTGAGGATGTAAGCATCATGTTCTCCAACGAGGGAGCCACCATCGAAGTGTCCACTCTCACCGTCACCATCCAGGGCTGCTCCGAGGGACTAGTCGACATAGACCTGGTCGGATGCTACAGTGAGTCATCATTTTCCTCTCCTCTTTATCATCATTCTCATCATTCTCAATTATATGGAAGCTTTATTGATAATTTACTCAACAATAATAAGAGATTTGATTTGGTATAAGCTTGAATTAAACTCATAAACCAATAAGACAACTTCATTATTCCGGATATAAAATGTAAAATGTTTTGACGTCTTGGAGAGTTTATCAATTCCTTTCAGTCTACTGGAAAACTCATTGTAAAAACAGGGCAGGCCAGGGCCGAAAAATTCGAAACCCATAAAATAATATCAATTTATCTATAAGAAATAAAAGAGTCGCAAGTTTCTGGAACATGTTATTTACTTTCAGAAGAAACAACGACGACTAGTTACACCACATCCGAAATAACATCATCAGAAACTACAACAGAAAGCGGACCCTCTGAGTTCAGCTGCGAAAAGATCTCGCCAGCACCCAAAGAGGATATCGAGTTCGATCTCATGCCAGCCGACAACGATGATGACGAGGAATCCAATTCTATTTGCACCGAAGATATGTCTGACCTAACATCATTTGCAGAACTGTCTTTCACCGACTCTGCCGCAACAGCTGTCGAAGAGATTGTCATTTCTGGTCTGACTAACGTCGACGAAGATACCCTGACTGTTGTTTACGAAGATGTTGATGGTTCCTTGCAAGTCCTGGAACTGACTGTAGTTTCTTCGACGTTGGAATCGTCGCCAGGTTCTCCGAGCGTTCTCTATGTTGCAGTCCAACAAGATGCAACTCCGCTAGAAGAAGGATCAACAGTTAGTCAAACAGCAAATTATGTTACATATTTTCAGAGCAATGGGTGTTCGTAAAATTAAATAAAATTTAGTTATTTATTTGAGGTCAAGTCTACACGTGAATTAGTTACTTCAACCTTGTTGCTCTGTTCATGCAATTCCAAACAGCTATGGGTTGTAAGTTTTCTGTAGCTGAATGGCAATAAGTTTTTAAAATATAACAGCTTAATTAAAATGAGCTGATATCATCAAAGCTGATTCTCGGAGCTTGCTTATATATCATATTATGTTTTGTTCCAGCCACTGCCTACCTTTGTGGCCCCGATAAGTGAATCTGGAGACGTCCTCGTAATCCTTGGTCTTGACATCACGACATCCAAACTCTTCATAGCAGCTGACAACAAGGACTGCGGCGAACTTGACGTCTCTGTACATTTCTGCGGCAAAGGTAACTATTACGATTTATTCATTTTTCGTAATACAAAGTCTGTATCCACAATATTTCTTTGTTTATTTCAAAAATTTAGTCTCCTTTTCAGATTTTTTCAACCTGTTTGGCTTTTAGAAAAACCTGAAACGTTATGTGGTCTTCAAAATCAATCAATGCCCTCTAAAAGTAAATAAGCTGGATTTGGATATCAAATGAGATCCAATGAAGTAATTTCTGAACTATACGTTATTTAGGAGTATCAATAGATGAAACTCAGCGTGTTTTTTGTTCGAAAAGGCGTCCAATTTTTTTGTTTAGTATCAACTACGACAGCTGGTCCTACAACAACTGCGACAACTATATCCGAAGCTACGACGACATCTGAAGTTACGACTATTGAACCCGAGGAGTCAAGTTGCGAGAAGGTATTTGCATCACCAAGAGAAGAAATCGAATATGCTCTCACTCCAGCCGAAAGCGACGATGATGACGAGTCCGACACGATTTGCACAGAAGATATGTCCGATGTGACTACATTCGCCGAGTTGACATTCGCCGACTCGGTCGCAACAGGAGTCGAAGAGATTGTCATCTCTGGTCTTACAAACGTGGATGAAAGCACTCTGGCTATTGTTTATGAAGATGCAAATGGAGACAAGCGAGTGCTGCAGCTGACAGTGTTGTCGTCCATTTTGGAGGAGTCTCCGGTCGGCACTTCTGAAGTCCTGTATGTCACTGTTGAACAAGATTCATCACCGCTGACCGATGAATCACTGGTAAATTGGTTTCGAATAGATTTTTGCCTTATGTACTGCACGTTTTTTTAAATCATTTTCATGATGATTTGTTTGTTTAATCATCATTGAAATATTTCTCAAAAGCAAAACGTAAATCTGTGAATTGATAGATGTCAGTTAAAAACAAAATACTTGGACAATTTTGACGTCATTAGTTTGCGGGGAACAACCGAACGTTCATTGCTTACAGACGCATGGGTTGTTGCATCTTCTAGACAGAGTCCTGTAGCATACACAGCAGGCGCGGATCTAGGAATTTCTGAGGTCTTGCAAATCACTACAAAGACCCTAATTTGACCAAATTTTCTGCGCCGCTGGCAAATTTTTGACAAAAGGCCAAAACCGGCGTTTTGGGCACTTTTTGGAACATTTTGACCAGAAAATTGCGTTTTTTTTTTGACGCGCGCACCCCCCTCAAAATTAGTGTATATTGGCGCCAAAGGCGCCTTTGGAAAATTTTTAGGGTCCGTCACCAAAAATGGATATCTCAAAGTAGTACAAAAGGGGACCCTTTCGGTCGGCAGGGGGTCGAATCCCTGAGGGGAGATGGAAGGCGTCCGCTCCCCCCCCCCCCCCCTAAATCCGCTACTGATACACAGCAAAGTTTTTTTTTACATTTAAGACTTAAAACCAATGTAACTGATATAAAAAATCTTTTAGCAAATGGGAAATTAATTTTCTTGGGTTCCTCTAAAAATATAAAGTAAAAGTTTTTCAACGTTTTAGAGCGATTGATGTTTGAAATATTTCATGAAAAAAATTTGACGTATTAATATTCCCCATTAATGTTTTAGGCACAAGCCCTCTTTGTGGATCAGACTGGTGCCCCTATCGATACCCCAGTAACATCCGAAGTAATCCTAGCTATCAAGGGTCTCGATATCACGACGTCTAAGTTGTATGTGGGAGCTGACAACGATGACTGCGGAGAACTCTTTGTTTCTGTACATGTCTGCGGAAAGAGTGAGAAAAAGACAAATTAGCTCCAATTTTTTCCTAACATAAAAATGCCACCTATTAAAATCTCATTGATATTTTTCGGTACTTTTTCATTAGATTTAATATTTTTTCATAATTGGTTTAGTTATGGGGACGGATCCAAAGTTTTTCTCAAGGTGCAGCGGGGCTTCCAAAAAAAATCGAAAACTTCTTCGACGTTTTTTAAGGTAGGTCGACCAAGTCTACCAAAACACTATAAAGACCCTATTTTGTGCAGGCGAATTTCTTCCGTTTTGTGTCCAAAGTGCCCTGAAAAATCATTTTGGGCACATTTTTGGACGTCTTTGATCGAAAACGCCTGTTTTTGGTGCGCGCTCCCTTCTCAAAATTTGTATATAATAGCTCCCAGCAAAATTTTAGTGCTGGTTAACCAGAATAGCCGTCAAAAAAAAGTATCCATTGGGCATTTTTGGTTGGCGAGAGGGTCGAATCCCTGAAGAGAAAATATATAGACGACCGAGCTCAAAACTTAAATCATTTTTTTTCTAGAATCAACAACTACAATAGCATTGGAAACAACCTCCTTAGAAACAACATATTTGGGAACAACATCATTCAAAACAACATCATCAGGAACAACATCATCAGGAACAACTTCATCAGGAACAACGTCATCCGGAACTACATCCTTAGAAGCAACATCCTCAGAAACGACATCTTCAGGAACAACATCATCGGGAACAGCATCATCAGGAACAACTTCATCAGGAACTACATCCTCAGAAGCAACATCCTCAGAAACGACATCTTCTGGAACATCATCATCCGGAACAACATCATCAGGAACAACTTCATCAGGAACAACGTCATCCGGAACTACATCCTCAGAAGCAACATCCTCAGAAACGACATCTTCAGGAACAACATCATCGGGAACAACTTCATCAGGAACTACATTCTCAGAAGCAACATCCTCAGAAACTACATCTTCAGGAACAACATCATCGGGAACAGCATCATCAGGAACAACTTCATCAGGAACTACATCCTCAGAAGCAACATCCTCAGAAACGACATCTTCTGGAACATCATCATCCGGAACATCATCATCCGGAACAACATCATCAGGAACAACTTCATTAGGAACAACGTCATCCGGAACTACATCCTCCGGAACAACATCCTCAGAAGCAACATCCTCAGAAACGACATCTTCAGGAACAACATCATCGGGAACAACTTCATCTGGAACAACATCATCTGGAACAACATCATCTGGAACAACATCATCAGGAACAACTTCATCAGGAACAACGTCATCCGGAACTACATCCTCAGAAGCAACGTCGTCCGGAACTACAGCCTCAGAAGCAACATCCTCAGAAACGACATCTTCAGAAACAACGTCCTCAGAAACGACGTCTGCAGGAACAAAATCATCAGGCACGACTTTTTCAAGAACCACTTCCTTAGAAATCACATCAGTGACAACTTCTCTACCGGTCACCGGAAGTGAAGGCAGTACTCGTTTCACCACTGAAAGGTCATTCGCATCTACAACCTCTTCTCCTTGCAATGTCTGCGAAGTTGATATGGTCGAAGTCACGGAACAAATCTCTACCGCGCAGAACTCTTTCAAGGTTTGAGAACATTCAAAATGCTGGAAACCTCTTGTATTAGATCAAATGAATGTGAAACGGCGGTTCATTTTTTGATTTTTTGCATAGCAAGAGTTCATATTTGAAGTTAAATCATATCAGCCTTTAATTTGCTGTTTTCTTATTCATACCAGCGAGTAAAAGAACATTTTTTATTTCGACCATTAGAAATTGGAGAAATTCTTTCTTCGGATGTGTTTTTATTTTTTTCCACGCAAAATCAGGTATCTCAAATAAGCATCACAATTTTGCTTTTCTTAATGTTCTATTTTTCTATTCAGTTTTCGAGAAAAACTGGTGTAGAATATGCCTAAGTTAAAACTATTGTCGACGAATGTGCCTTAGTTCTAGTCTTTCATTAAGAACCTCTCATAGCACCACAGATAGAAAACGGCACAATTTGGAAAAAAAACAGTTTTTTGTTTCTAGTTTATATTGTAGTCGGAACATTTTGTGCTACTTGCAAAGTAACCGGCTATCCTTGTTTTTTTTGCATGCTTTTAGCGCAAAAGTGGAGACCATGAGTAATTTATGGTACTGTAGACTGCTAAATAAATCTCCCGGGTTGACCTCCATAGACCGAAAATGCTAATCATACAATTTCATAGACTTAGTCTATGGAAAAATGCTAGTCATACAAATTTCATACATTTTTGCAAAATGAGTATAATCGAATTTCAAAGGTATTTTATAGTTGTTTTGGTATCGAAATTGGTATCTCTTCATGAAAAAAAAGGAAAAAGAAAGGTATGAAAAAAATGCTAATCATACAATTTCCATATATGGAAATTGTATAATTAGCATTTTTTTTTTAAAATTTTTCGAAAAAAAAGCTTTGAACAATCAATCCAACTGCTGGCAAAACATTTAAGCGTTTTTTTGGCTGCTACAACTGAAAACTTTGATTTTTTTTTCTATTTTTGTTTTCTGAAAAAAAAACACTAGTCATACAATTTCCATATATGGAAATTGTATGACTAGCATTTTTTTGATGGCGACGACAAAATTTTTTCAAAGTAATTTTGAAATTGCCCCCAAAATTTTTTTTGTGTTTTTTTTCAATCGCAAACTGATTTTCGTATTCAAACAAACATTTTTTGAAAAAAAAAATTTTGCATGCAAAATTTAATTTTTTGTGTGTATAACGTAGTCCTGGATATACTAATATTGGATTTTTTTTCCTTTTCTCTTCATAATTTTTTTCAAAAACGCTTAAAACTCCTCTTTCTTTTGTATGACAAGTTTTTGTATGCCTGGATCAATGTCTGGTAATTTAAAAATTCTAATTTTAGAAATAATCATCTTTGAAAGTTATTGCCAAAGTTTAAAAGTTCATTACTTTCGTTATATTATTTGTGTGAGACAGAGTTAACAAATATCAGGCTGTTTCCAATGCATTTTTAATGCGAGACGGCCAAACCTTTGGTTACTACGTTTGAGTAAACAAAGTTTATGTCGTAACCGAACACAACCAAAAAATTTTGAGAAATTAAAATGTAAAAAATCAATCTTTTTCGTTTATGGAAAAATGCTAGTCATACAATTTTCATATATGAAAAAAATACTAATCATAGACCTTTCATGCAATTTTCTGTACGTATGGAATTGCATGGAAAGTGTATGACTAGCATTTTTCCATATATGGAAATTGTATGACTAGTATTTTTGGTCATCCCGGGCTAAAGCCCATTCAATTGAGATGCAAACAAGAGTTCCTGAAAGGATTCCGATTGCCGAGAAAAACTGCTTTAATTTATTATTATTTTTTAAATTTCCGTATTGATATAAAAAAGGCGAAGTTTTCGATTAATATGAATAGTGGATGAATAGCATAAGTAAAACGACTAAAATATCATCTTGTTGCATTATTGAGGCCTTAAGACACTATTGAGGAAATCTAAATTTGATTCCCCACCACCAAAAAAACGGTATTCACACATTTCGCCCCTCTTACATCTAGTGGCACATTTCGCCCCTCACACTTTTCGCCCCCCACACGTTTTGTCCCTCTTACATCTAGTGGCACATTTCGCCCCTCACACTTTTCGCCCCTCACACGTTTCGTCCCTCACACGTTTCGTCCCTCTTACATCTAGTGGCACATTTCGCCCCTCACACATTTCGCCCCTCATAAATTACTGGCACATTTCGCCCCTAAAATGTACATTAAGAAAGCGGCGTTAATTAACTGTGTAATAAGTTAGGGGCGAAACGTGTGAGGACGAAATGTGTGAAATTATTAGGTGCGAAATGTGCGACTAGATTTAAGAGGGGCGAAACGTGTGAGGGGCAAAACGAAATCCGGCGAAAAAATAACAAAAAATTAGGGTTGCGATTGAATTATTTTCCACTCTTTGTCTATCTACTAATTTTTTGCTTCAATTTGATATTTTTTGTGTTTAATAATCAATAATTTGTCAATTTTGTACTAAAATGTGCTTAATCATAGATAGCGACTTAAACGACTGGTTTTGCTTTCAGAGCTTCGCACTTGGCACCTGTTATAAGATAACTGAGTTCGAACTCGCCTTCAGTGGCGTTAATTTGCCAGACCCTGTCCTGGACCCGTTCGAGTTCCACCTCATTGTCAGAGACGTCAACGGAGACTTTTATGGAGTTGTCGAAGTTAACTTCGTCTACGAATACAAACTACTCGACAATCCAGGAGACGTTTTCAGCATGGCAACCAAAACATTCGACCCGGTCAGTACAACTGTTTATATTTGGACATTTGGCAACAACTTACTGTAACCTACCCAGAATCTTAAGGAAATGCTCAAGAGGAACAAAAATCGTATCGACTTACGCGATCAGGGCGCTTCTCAACTGCATTTTGGGTCTGCGCTTGAAATGCGACGCAACATTCATAAGTCGCGAACCTTCAAATAGTTTTAGCCTTAAATGGATTGAGTCCTATAATTAGTATATCTCTGTATTTCATGGGAAATGCTAGTTGTTATCTTGAAAATTCCGTCGGGTGTTTTCGGTTATACCCCCCTAAACGATAAAAAAATTAAATTTTTGTCACACATTTTGACTTATTTTACTTACAAATCCTGGGTTGACATCCCGAAGGTTAAATCGAGCTAATAAAAAAGAAAAAAAGTGCGAATTTAACGACTATTAAATCTGTGCATTTTCTTCCTTTTTATGAAATTTATGTGCATAAAACTAGTGAAACTATGAGAAAATGGAGAAAACAGTCAGTTTGAGGCTCAATTAAGTAAAAATTCTTCGTTTTTTTTTCGGCGCCATAATAGTAATATCGTGCATGTCCCAATTATATTATTTTCATTTCAGTTTTTCATCAATTAGGGGGGTTTTATCGAAAAGATCCAAACCGTCCAAGTGTCAATAAAATTAGGAAAAATGGTTTGTAGTTTAATCACACATATATCTCTGAACTAAGAGTGAGTTTATTCCGTTTCAGTTTGAACTCGAAGACAGTATGGATAATAAATTGGTGACGTTCACGACTGTCCAGAACCCCACTTCATTCTTCAAACGAGGCCCAGCTGCCCTGCCAGAGGAGTTCTTCTCTCTCAGCGAGACCAGGTAGATAGACTGCGCCTGCATCTTAGATCGACCACGCAGTGCAGAATTTAGTTATTTTCCTGCCATCTTTTGAGCATCATCAGATGATTTCAATGTTTGTTCATAAAAATTGAGACGCGCTGCAAATCCAATGGCTATTTTTTCAAAGGAAAAGAGCCAAATTTTTGGTGTATTCTGGATTTTTGGTCGATGCATGTTTGCGTTTTTTCTCTGCATTTTTCCTGCTTTTTGCCGACTGTTCGTTTTTCATGCTACCCACAAATTTGTTAGTTGTCATTTGAGAAGTGTTGGGGAAGTGGCTAATTTTCCGCTTCACATGCGATAGATTCGAGGTTTTAGACCCACTATGATCTGTGCTCCAAGTCCTGAAAAACAACCAAAAAAACTTTATGAAATTCTTAACCACGGCTCAACAGCGGCTCTTCGTAGTGTTGCAAACAACTTTGCACACGGACGGAGTTATTTTTAAAAAGCAATATTTCCATTTTCACAGATTTTTACATGATGTTTTGGTGTTTTCGAGGGCCTTGCGGCACTAAATCTGTCAAAAAAATGTAGCTTTTGCGTGCATAATTTTTCAAAATATTTAAATTGTTCTTTTTGACATATTTTTTATTCTTTCCGAACTAATTACATCTCTCTATATCTGTTGGTCCGCTCCCACGTGTAAAAAAATTGCGTTCATCATTAGGTATATGTGGGATCTACCATCGAGCAATGAGGCGATCAGCAACATGGAAAATGTGCAGTTCGTTTACCTGTTGGTGAAGAGTCCCATAGACTCTCCTCTCAACAGCCTCGAAGTGAATGTCGATCTGGGAGCAGTGGACTCCGATCTCTGCTACGAGGAATGCACTGAAATGCGAGACAGCAGTGAGTATTTACTCTTCTTTTTTCTTAGTCGGTGGTTCGAATCTCTCCCTCTGCTTGGTTTTCGAATGGCTTCATAATGGTTTCTTCATCTTAATATATTTTTTTTCAGAATCCTATATACAAACAAAAGAGCTCAGACTAGTTTTTACTTAGACCTGAAGCGGCCATTTTAAAGAAATATATCGTCACTTAAAATGTTCACAGTTTTTAGAAAACAAATTTACAGTTTTTACAAAACTTTGAGGGTATTCTGGTTCCGTTTAGTGTCGTGTGCGCCAACAAGAACTTCAGCGTCCACTGTTGAACAGAAAATTGAAACTCAAATTAACACAGTTGCCGGTATCACCACCGAGAAAATTAACACCGTCATGGTAAGTAATGGTTTATTAATGTATATGATTTATTCAAACTTCAGAAATTAACGATTTATTATATTGTAATGTACGACTAAGACGAATTTATTTTTGAGAAAATCCAAAAAAAAGCATCTCAAAAAATCACCAAGCATGAAACTTCGGTGCATATACAAAACAGTCCCATACAAAACAATCCAATACAAAATAGTCCAAAAAATCATGTAATGAAGAAAAAAACAGTCCGATACAAAACCAATCTCCCTGAAGTGCTTAACTTTTTTCATTAATAAGGCTGGAACCAGTCATGAAAATCGAGGCAACTGGGTTTAGGTTTCACCATTTTAATAACAAAGAAAGATATTAGTTTTTATGGGCTGGTTGCATTGTAAAACAAGGTGATAGTCCCAGTTTTCATGTGATTCTTAACGAAAACCCAAATTTTGTTTGAAAAATATATCCGCGTTTTGTTTCATCAAATTTTTTCAATAGTGTGTTTTTAAAGGTTTCATGTCATCAATTTTCTTGTTGTGTGACAGTTTTCTTTGGGTCAGGTCAATAAATGAGCGGATATGAAAAGGTTAATAAGCAAACTTTATCAGGCAAAACGTTTTCAGAAAATTTGTGAAAATGGCCTGACCGCTTAAAAAGGATATTTTTTATCAATTGTTTTATCTTAGTTACATTTTTTTGTTTGTGTTTAGACTTCTGCTGCAGGAACCACACTTACCCCTTTGACCAGCACCGAGAAAATCATTACTGTTATGGCAAGTAGTTATGGTTTAGTGACGGAATTGTTGTTGTTCAAACTTCTGAAATTAATAACTTTTTTATGGTGACGTCCGACGAAGACACGCAAACATGGCTACTTAATTAGGCTACTGTTTTATGCTAGTTGTAATTTTTGCGCTTTGTGTTTAGTTTTCTGCTGCAGGAGCCACAGTGGAGTCTATTCAGACCAAGACGAACTCAGAAGCTCAGTTCACTGTCAAAGTGACTCAGACCACAACCGAAGCAGCAGTAAGAACTTTTTAAAATTTACAACCAAAGCAGCGGTAAGAATTTTTTTTTAAATTTACAACCGAAGCAGCAAGAAGATTTTTTTTCATTTAACTGAAGCAGCAGTAATTTTAATTCACAACCGAAGTAGCGGCAAGGATTTTTTTAAATTAACAACCGAAGCAGCTTGAAATCAAAATAAGCTTGACATCAGGGGCGGATTAAGGGGGGGGGGGGGGGGGTGGGGGTTGCAGACGCTTTTTTTCAAGGATTCGACCACCTGCCGACCCTATGTATTATTTTGAGATATCAATCTTTCGCTGGGATCCTAAAATTTTTCTAAAGTCGCCTTTGGCGCCAATATATACTAATTTTGAGGGGAGCACGTGCGCCAAAAAACCGCGATTTATTGGTCAAAATTTTCAAAAAAGTGCCAAAAAGGCCGCAAAAATATCATTGTCAAAAAACATATTTTTAAGTGTTACAGACAAGAGTTTTTCTTTGCATTTAATGTCAATGAAGCCGAATTCTCTTATCCAACATTTTCATCTTCAATGGTTTTGCTTCATTGCCTAATTGCAAACAGGGATACCTGTCTGATGACAAAGACAAAGACTTAGCCGAAATAAAAGTTTCCAGCGGAAAAAAACTGTTGTAATCCAGCGAAAAAAAAACGCTATGCAGTTTTCAGTAATAATAGTGGCGCTGTTGTGGCCTGCTTGGTCCATATGCAGATTTCAGCAAATCTTTAACATTCATTTAGTTGGTTTTGCCTGTTTTTTACGGTTTTAATTTTTTCGAATCTTGTGTAATAAAATTTTCACCATATAAAATTATATTGCGTCTCTGTGTTTTAGATTGTGACAAATGCACCGAATACTGTTCCAACGGTCACAATTGGACCTCGACCGGAGACAGAAACAACAACCCAGCCTCAAACGACACAAGCAATCGACGGTATGTTTTTTTAGATTATTTTTTCTGAAATAACCGTGGTTTTATGTCAAGTATTAGCTTGATATAAGTTGTCAGTGCCCAAAAGTTGACCAAAAAGTAGATGCAATTCTTACCAAAGGCAAATCTGTGTAACAGCAACCAAATCGCCATGTTAAAAATAGCAACTTTACTTGAGAATGTACATCCAAAAGAGAAAAGACTGACATGAGAAGAGCTATTCATCCTGAACTGCTTTTGTGACCATGATTATCCTGAGCTGATGATAAGAACTTGAATAAGACAAGCATCATTCTAAACAGGATGGGTCTCAAAATGCCTTCTTTCACTTTTGAAAATAGGAAGAAACGCGAATTACTCAACTACAAATCTCAAAGTTGAACCTATTTTTCAAATGATTTCAATGTTTGCTGTTTCAGTTTGCGATGGCATTGCACAGCTGCCCTGTGGATCGTTCCAGTCCATAGTGACCAGCTACGTGTGTGACACCACAGCTATGGTCCCATACCCCACCACAGATGCAGAATGTTCAGTGCCATGTGACCCCTACGTGGAACTGACCATAACTGTGTGCCAGGGCACAGAGAGTGAAGAAGGAGTCAGCACCTGTGAAATGGGCGACTGCGGTCAGTATAATTGTTTTAAGATTATTTTTTCACGAGGAAAAAGACCAAACGAGCGAAAATTCTCAACCAATTAGCGCACTTTAAATCGTCCAAAACTGACCGAATTTATTGCATAGTTCTTTCGAATTCATGAATGTTGAATTCTGATTGGCTCCCAAAATTTTCGCGCGTTCAGCTCATCGTGCAGGAGGGATTCTCCGTTGCTCTTTTTTTTGTCAGAAAACAGCTGTTGTACTCCTTAATTCGGACTAACATGCATTTTTTGGCTACTTTTCTGGGCTGAGTATTGTTGCCCCGCCCTTAAACAATGAGCGCGGATTATGGTGGGACTCGAACCACCAAAGTTTCGATTGAGAAGCGGTTGTGGCCTCTCAAAGCCAATCGGAGGGTTAATAGCAACTTACTCTGTGATCAACAAATCTGCTTTCAAACTATATTGGCTTTTGTACATTGGATTAATCATTATCACCCTTGCGATTAAATTAATTTATTTTTTGGTTCTAGAAGCCGGCCAGGAATATGTGAATGCAAACTACTCCGCCCCAGTGGACATGTGCATGTACACTTGTGCAGGACGACAAGTCGGACCCGACAATTGCTTCGCACCGTAAGAACTACTTTTCAATTTGGTTCATGGTATTTTTTTTGTTTTCTTCATAAAATCAATTGTCACTTTTCTGTCTAATTCTTTGTTGTCAAATTGATTTTTGAGTTTTTGTCTTGTCCAATCAATTACTTTCTTTTAGCCATCGTTTCGTGGAATAATTTTTTGAGATCATTTCGGTAACACCTTTTTCCTTTGAACTTGTACTGATAGGTTTATTTAGATATTCCATTAAAGTCATAGCAGAAAGAAGGAGATCCATTCCATTCAAAGTTAAAATTTGGTAGTTGGGGTGTCTAAAATTGGAATCTTAGAAACCAAAAAAAAGACGGTAACATTTTTGGTGTGCTTAGGACGACGATGCCGTTCTGCAAGTGTGCGGGTGGGAAAGTGTGGGACGAGGCCGTGAACAAGTGTGTGGAGCCGAGTGAGTGCAGCTGTGTGATTAAGACGGAGCAACAACTCACTGCTCTGGGCGAAGTGGACGATGAGTTCATCTTCAATGGAGCCATTAGATCTTACTACAACTGTCCCGGATTCGGAAGCGACATCGCCTGCAACATGTAATATCGTTATACAGATTTGTTTCAAAGAACATTTAAAAATTATTACGTCGATCAAAAAAAATTAGTTTCACTTGAAGTAATAAACTGGTTTGGTTAAAGGGCGTGATTAAACTGGTTAAACTTTTATATATGTCGCGATGTCTTTTTTTTTCAGGAAAGGTCTGAAATTTTGTTCAGGTTTAAATTTAATTTTTCACAGTTTGACTTTTGATTTTTTTTAAGTTCAGTTCCTTTCCTTTGTTAAAATGAAGGTAAACTCCACTTTCGAACAACAAAACTGTAAAGGTCGCAAAAAACGTGATCAACTTCTAGTTTCGAAAATGGAATTAAATTATCAGACTTCACAGCGAAATAAAAAGTTTACTTATTGATCCAGTTTTCTTAAATTGGGTTAATTTTATCGAATAAGTCCTAGTCATAAATTGTTTTAGAATTCAAAGAGCTTTCAGGGCATTTATTTTTTTCGTTGAAATTCAAGTTTTTTTTTGTTTAATTACGCTCATTGACTCTTTTCCAACTGTCTGTTGGCTATGTTTAAACGCTATCAAGCAAATGAATATATTTGAGTTTCAGCTCTGTTTATTTTTTCTATTTTTCATTTCAGGGAATGCCACGCTGGACATCTGCAAGTGAAGTTTGACTGCATGTGCAAATACGATGGAAATCTATACGTAAGTCAACTTCAAAAAATTTTCATTGTTCTATTAGATATTCTATTAAACTTACCCTATAAATTTCAGAATTCAATAAAAAAAGTATTTCTTCTCACAAGTTTGTCGGGATGCTTCTACTACGATTGGGGAGAAACTATTTAAATCAAAATGAAAATTGTGTTATTTACTAGGAAATTGGAGAGGAGATCATGGATTATGACGGAGTGAGTGCGGAGTCCTTCCAGTACCAGCCACCTCAGTGCTACAAGCCAGTGTGCGAGGGCACGGAAGAGGGAGCTGCTATGATTGGATTCAAACACGTCTATCAGAACCTCACGCAAGAAGACTGCGGAGTAAGTTGATTGGTTGCCTCAATAATTTTTGCCTCGATAAGTTCTCTATATTGTTGCATTATTGCACTACTTGAAACAAATTTATTTATTTATTTATTATTAATTTTTACCTATTATGGCTATTAGGCTCTATACGTTTATTTAGTTAGCATGAAAATTCTATAGCAAAAAATCGTCGAACTTTTTAGAACGGGCCAAAATTGATTTTTCGAGCTGTCTTTAAACACTGAATACGTCTTATTTTGAGGCAAATTGTTTGAGAAAACGAGCCACAAATGTTGTCAGCCAAAATTGCTTGAGAGAAAACGAGCAGTAATGGAGCAGCGCTTGCTGGGGCGTTACATCTGACCTTTTTGAGAGGTTGTTAGCACGGAACTTAGTGAATTGTTTTGTTCAAAAACGTAACTTAATCATCAAAATGTAATTTAATTATCAAAATTATTAGACAGTTCTATAAAAATTTAAGAATAATTGAACAAATTTTGAACGATAATAAAATCTGAAAGCTGAAGAGTTCAGCTTTTTTATAACGTACAATGTTTTATTTTAATCTAATGAGTGACCTGTAAGGATTCTTTTTTAAATTTAAGGAGGGCAAAATGCTTGATTACGACATGCACGGGTGTGCTCAATGCACCGAAGTCTCACTGTGCCGACCTTACGAGGAGGTAGAAAAACTGCAAATCATCCACGTGGGTAAGTGACCACTCGTGTTTTTCAAACTTACTATGTTAGCGGGGTGTCAATTTTAGTGGCTTGTTTTTGTGGTCTTTTTTGAGTTCCCGCTCAAACTTTCATAAAAAAGATTCGGCAACCGGCTATCGTTGTTTAAATATTGGCCATGTTTAATTTTAGCTGTACTAGTATTTACCAACAGTTAATTGTGACTTTATGTCTTCGTGTTGTAGAATACGAGCACCAGAATTTGAGGTCGCACACTTTCGTTTGTCTCTCGGAGGACTCTTGGGAGTTCACTGAGTGCAAGGGATCATGCGGAAAGAGCATGTTCAAGATCGGCGGCAAGAGCGACGAGATCATCTCCACCTGCATGTGCTGCAAGGCCAAGGCATGGAAGCTTGTCGAGGTAAGAGAACACAACTCATGCATTCAAAACAGCACATGTTAGCTACCGATTCCCCCTCCTCAATAGTAGAGGGGAAGGTTTTGTTGCCAGGTACAAAAATTTCAACTTTTCCAATATGCTTAACCGTTTAAGTGATCCTTTCTATAGATTCTTAACAATTTCCAAGCCACTTTTGAAACGACTGTTTGAGTTTGAACTGATTAAGACTTTCACTTCATTAAGATTTTCAACTTCTTTCACGCTATGTTTTTTGTACTCAGTTCATAAGTTTTTTGTTTTCGTTTTTTTTTTTCGTTCTTTTTTCGTTCACTCTCTAAACCTATTTTTCTGATGTGCTTTTATTTTCTTCTGCAGGTGGACTTTGAGTGTGACGAGAGTGTGACAGGTGCTGATGGTGAGGTAGTGGTGATCAACCAGGGACTCACCAAGAAGTTCGTCATCCCCTTCCACTCCAGCCTCTCCGGCAACCCATACGAGAACACGTGCCAGTGCACAAAGTGCACAGACGGTCAGTGAACTTACTTAAATAAGTGTGCTTAATAATCGAGCCAAAAAGGCCGAATTGTAGGGAAGCCGAAAAATGTTAGTGAGCGTCTTTCAAAATCTTTGTTGAAATTTAAATAGCTGATTTTTGCATAATGTTACGTACAGTTTTCCAGCTAACTTTTTCGGCTGGCTTATTTAATAGGTGGTTCATTCCTATACTATGTCAAATAATATAGAGAGTTGAAATTTATAAATAGGTCGATTGCTAATTTTGATTTTTCTAATTCAGTCAGAAGTTTCTGTATCTGTCTACTGACTTTAATATTCAATGTTTCTACATTTCAGCAATCAACGTTACAAACGTACACGAGTTCGAAGACGAGAGCAAAATCGAGACTATCTTCTTCTTTGTGGACGCCGTCAGTCGCGATTTCATCAGCGAGAGGTGACCCAAAACTTTTTCATTCAATTAAATTATAATACAAATTTTCAACTTTTTTGTCTTATGACCACTAGTGGTTTTTTTTTGGCTGGTTTCAGGTAATTCCAGGAAAAAATCAGCTCGTACGGGTCACATTAAAGCCCTATTGGTTGTGATTCAAATGAAAAAAAATTATAAGACTTTGAGGCAAAACTGTTCATTGTCTCAGTTTAAACATAAAAATGGCCCATCAATATATAGTTTCTTAAGGCCCATGATTTTGACCGATGGGTCGATCGTTTCACAGTTGAAAAGTTTGAAAAAAATCAATTTAATTCGGATTCAATTTTTTTCCTTTGCAATAACAACTGTGGTTGGAACACTCAGTTTGTTGAATTTGGTAATTATTTAACAAAGTTAATTAAGTGTACATGAACAGAGTCAGACACTTATTGAGGTCTGGCAGTTTTTTTCGGAAAAGATCGAAGTTATTTGTTCATAACTATTTCAGACCAATGTATTTTATTTCATGCATTGATGCGAATTTGATTTTTTATGGTTTTTGTGCAATTCAAATTTATTTAAAAGTTTCTAAGCGGAATATTAACTTTTTCTTTTTATACAGTTTTTCTCGAATTTGATCTAAGTGTCAATCATAAAAAAAAATTTCTTGAAATTGAACGTGATGTGTCTTTTTTATCAATATTCTTTAAACTATTAAGAAAGTCAAAACAATTTTTTTCTATTTTGCTTATTGCGTCGGTACTTTTCCAACGTCTAAAGGTGCTTTCGGCGCCTAATATACATTAAATTTGAAGGGATGTAAAATGTCTGAATTTAGTCCTCCAATCTTATTAAAATGAACTGCAATGAATGACCTGGTTTGTGTTACCCCAGGTGTACTCTGATCTACGATGGAGTGAACAAGACAGCCACTAGCTACTCCACCACAGCCGCTCTGCTGGCCCTGGGAGACAGCTATACTGTAGTCTGTGACGGATACGAAATCGCTAATGGTCAGTCAGTTTAACAAGCCAAAAAAGGCGTTTTTTGAAGAAAAAAAACTAGCCAAAAAAAGGTCAAAAGGGCCAAAAGCACCTATTTTAAGTTCCGTCAGCCAAACATTGATATCTCAAAATAGTACAAAGGGAGACCCTTTGGGTCGGCAGGGGGTCGAATCCTTAAGAAGAAGCGTCTCACCTCCAACGCTTCAGATCTATATGAAATTTTGTGCAATTTGTTTCAAGGCAAAATGAGCGCCAAAGACGCCAGGACGAAGACGATTCTGGTGGAGATGGTGCAAACTCCACCTCCCGGACTCATCAACACAATTCTGGACTGGGAAGACCTCATTGATGTGGACTTGTCTCTATACATGTACTGCAATGTCAGAGATCTAACGGTAAGTCATGTGTCCTAATTTAGAAGATTCAGAACATTCCAGAAAGTTACTAGTGTCTATGCCTCGCAAAGAGGTCGGTATTTCAAGGCCCATTATGTCAGTATTGGTAGATTGCTGTTCTTGCTCGTTGCTTGAAGCAAAATATTGCGATCTTGAAATAACATATCGCAGTAAGTCGTACCACAAAAAGTCAACCCTTATTCGGTTGTTTGCAGTTATTTTGCATCATTGTTACATCGTCTAACGTTTGCATATAGTTGACCGTTGAACTAGTCCCTCGTAAGGATTGATATCTGTTACTAGGCACCATAAGGGTGATAGTTGAAAGTATGATGCTCTTTAGACCCGCCCACCCCTCGTCAACTACTTCACAACTGAACTGTACTGCGACGGAGTGAATGGAGACGCCTTCTTCATCAACGATGGATTCGGAGTGGGTCAGAAGGAACTGGTGCAGACCAGAGAGACTCCCGAGGCCATCAAGTGCTTCGTCGCTGAGGGCGCACCCACTTCCAACGACGTCGGATCCCTCATTGGTAACAAGGATCCCTCATTTGTGCGAATTCTTAAAGCTCAAATCTGGACCCAAGTTAACATCCCCCCAAAGCCGTTGAGGGGGGGGGGGGGGGTGTTAACTTGGCTCTAAGTTGGGAATGCTTATCCAATAAGAATCGAGCATTTTACATGCAGCGCTTAGCAAAGTTAATGCGAAAAGATCTTAACATGGTCTATCTCGTTTCTATAGTTTTCCGTTGTTTCGCTGATCCAAATGAGAAATACAAGTATTTTTTATAGCTATAACGAATTAATAGTGGTGGCTTTTTCGGTAAACGAAAAGAACATGCTAAACGAAGACAAATTGAAAAATTAATTGCATAAAATTGTCCATTGTTCTTGTTTTAACACATCGATGTCAAGAAATCAAATGAATCTAAAAAAAATCACTTTTATTGACAATTCGGAATTTTTATAGAAGATTTTTTGTTTTCTGCAGTGAGAAGCTACCTCCCAATGCACGCCAAGATCACCCGATTTGACGCGGAAGTGAGTGTGGATGACGCACTAAGAGTGGAGCTGAACATGGTAGGAGGACCCTGCTTCAAATGGCTCATCGGATGCGAAACACCAACTTCAGACTTCACAAAACAGGAGTTCCGAGTCATCAACAGGTACGCATACACATTCGGAACAATCGGTTTATCAACTGGAATAATCTGTGATTTTTTTGCAGAGCGTCTTCTTCGATAAATATGTGCATTTTATTTTTACAATTACAAAGACTTCAGAAAAAACGCCCTGCTCTCATTTTTGAGTTTTCGACGTTTAAAAAGTAATTTAAGTTTAAAAAATTAATTCAATCTGGTTTTAGACGGATTGCTTGTTTATGAACATAAACGTTGAGAGGTGGTTTTTTCCGGTATTTTTTTCTTAAACATTTAACAAATGAACTGTTTTTGTAGATGTTACGAGACTAGCGAGCAAGTTCTGTCAACTATTTCGGAAGCACTCTCCGATTTGACGACGAGCGAAGCGCGGTAACTCCACGACACATCGCGATAATTCATCACAATTTGACGACAAAAAAGCACACATCCGACAAAACATATCAAATCATAATAGCATTAATCATTATTAAATGAAGACAATAGTCATCATACGCATTGGAGCGTATCAAAAATCATCTGCGATCACAACGGACCTAACGGCTTTTTTGGACAAGCAAGCGTATGCCCTCAAAATTGTGAAAATAACACAACCAAGTCACAATTAAAACGCAAAAAGAAAGAAAAAGTATCCGAACTGATAAACTCTCAAAAAATAACTCTGTCATCTGAATTGAGATCGGATCAATTGGTTAAGGGTGAATTATAATTAGTTAATGATACGAAGATCTAACGAGGATGAAGACGCTGCTTGCCACACGGACGACTATGGATTGATTTGAGTCGCGGATCCACGACCTTAAAAAACGGACCCTTCTCTCTCTGCAAATACTGAAAAACCAAATAAAAAGAAATAATTTAACTGTCTTTTGAAACAAGCTGAGATATATAGAACAGGGTGCAAGCAATTTTAAAAGAGCACATTTAGTTTGATCAGAGCAATGGTGAACTCACTATTTGGAAGCTTTATTTACATTCATGCTTGAAAGCTGATTGAAAAAAGCTATATGAATACTAAACTCATCATTTTAGGCTAACGTAGGCCCTCAAAGTTAAAAAAATTCAGGATTCATTAGACTTGAAAAATCAGTACCCGAACTGATAAGTACTGAACGATTGCTATGTCATTTGAATAGATCAAGAAATGGACACAGATCATTTAATTTTTACATATGGCTCAAATTTATGTTTTTTTTTATCAAAGAGAAAATACAAAGCCTATTGCTGCAATTTACATGTTTGAAAATTTTAATTCTCGATTAGACTGGTTTACACAGCGAACGCAGCATGCTAAACTTTTGCCGATATTTTTTTCTATGATTTTGGCTAAACATGATCCGTACAAAACCAGAAACTTTAATTAGCTAATTTTTTGCTTTGGTTACTTTAAAGCAAAAAAAATTATCGAATAAAAAATTAACATCAACGACTGGACAAAAAACATACTTTAATAAAAAAACATTTGTTCTGAAAATCTTTTCAAACTAAACGCAACATGGTGAAGGAAACTCAAAAACAATTTTTAATTGAAACTCAACAGGAAACTCAACTTTTAATTAAAAAATTACAAACTAGTCACAAATTTTTTTTAATTTGAAAGTTTAACATTTTTCCATTATTTTGAACCGGAAAATCGAATAACGAAAATTTAACAAGGCAAAAGATAACAAGAAAAAACGAATAGAAATAATTTTTTTTTCACAAATAGGTAACGACTCATAAATACTGGGCATAATATTTCAATAAAAGACAAAGGTTTTTTTTCGTTTGTTTTTGCAGCTGAAAGTACGACGAATTATTTAGGCTGTGGAAAGTCGACGGATTCTTTAAAGTTACCTACTTGGGAAATCAACGTTCATTTTCCGAACGGTTCCTTTAAAAACAACTACCAGAGATTAATTGTTTTTGAGGGTTTTTGAAAAGCAGTTGATTACATTTTGAAAACAAATAATTTTTATCTCAATTATAAGAGACTTATATCAATGCAAGCAAAAGAGTTACGATCCTACGTCAAAATTAGGTTCCACGAAAGATGTCAGCTGACGCATTATCAGTTTTTTTGAGAGTTATTCATAAAAACATATCTGTTCTTAAAGATAAAATTATTTCAATTCGGTTGAATGTTCATTTCGCTAGCACTTCAAACTTTTTTGCACAAACCTCACTTATACTGGTTTTTATTTCAAGAGTGAACTTATTCTCAGACTTAAATAATTGTGTGAAAAAAGAAACAAAAAATCATGTAGAGTTTGTATCAAAACAGTTGTCCTGGAACAGCTTAATGCAAACGAAAAAAAAAACTAATCAGTTTTTATTAAAACTCAGAATTGTTGACCGGGATAAGGTACAAAATTTTTGGTTCTTTATTTTCATTTCGAGCACTGATATCAAGACTGAAAAGTCAAAAACCAGCAATAGCTTGGCGTGTTTCAAGACAAAACTACTCAGCTTTGCTTAGGAAGTAATTTAACCTATATAACTTTAACGAAAAATAACGATCGGTTGAGTTGTCAAAAAAAACATATGCTGAAAAATTTTGTTTCATCAAAAAAGTTTACTAGGTGTCGTAACCGTCTCAAGAAAAAAATCTTGATAATCATAATAAACTGTTTTCGAACCAAACATATGCACAAAGTTAAGAGGGCATTCTACGATTTCAAAAACTTCCGAGAGATGCCTCGAGAAAACAGAACAGTTGTGAAGTATAACTCATTCTTATAATATAAACGTTAATTTTTTTAGTAAATGTTGAATACAATTTTCAAAAAAAATTTATTTAAATTTCTTCAAATTGCTCCATGAAATATTTTTGATTAAATTTATGAAGGATTTAAGTTGAACTCTATATTTTGTTATGACATTATTTACGAACTTATCTATTTTTTAAAACAAGATGAATTGAGTCTTGTATCAATCTTTTATTCCTCAAGAAACCACATCCGGATACGTTTCAGAAATAAAATTCAATTGTATAATTATGATTCTTACATGCAATCGAAATATTGACAATGCGTTTTGCTTTGTGCTTAAGTTCGACTATAAGCGAGTTTATTCAAATATTCTTTTTTCAGGAAAAGATTCATTTCCTATGTTATCACAGGTATAATTTAACTTAAAAGCTTCAAAATAATTCATTGAAACAAGTTCTATAACAAATATAGTTTATAATCACTCTTTTTCATTGACTGATAATGTTTCCTACAAAGCACTACCCGAAAAAACCCACGGCTGATAATTTTTTAGTTCATTTAATCTATTCGTACTTCCTGCTTCGTCTGGCAGAACATCATCTTGAATTATTGGTTGTGGTGAGCAAATTGGTATGCTCTCATTTGATGTTTTGAATTCAAGTTTTTCTTTAGATCGTAAAAAATTCAAAAAATTCCGGAGAAACGACCTTGTTTTTTCTTGAGTACTTCTATGTGCTTTTAGAACTCATTTTTGCAACGTACGTACACTCCTAAGTTTTCGAAAAGTGAAAGTTTTTTTCCGAACTTCCCCTGCTCATTTCGACAGCATTTAAATTTTTATTAGTTCTGGATTTTACCACTTTGCCAAAATGTTAAGAGTGAACTTATCCGTGACCTTGTCCTGTTTGTTAATCAGAGTTGTCTCATCCGCTTAAATAAAAGTATGAAGATGGTTGAAACAAGCATCATTTTCAGCCATGTAAAGTTTGAAGGGTAGAGGACCAAGAATGGAGCCTTGGGGAACTCCAAACTCAATGGTTCCTACTTCGGAAGTGAACGGCTCTATAAAAGTGAACTGACTTCTTTTTTTCAAATAAGATTTATTCAACCATTCTCACTCACTTTTATTCCAAAACTTTGTAGTTGTTTTAACTGTGAAAGCAAAGATCCAAACTATCAAATGCTGTTTTAAACTCACATTTCACATCAAAACTTTAAAAACAGTTTTTTCAGAAAATCACATCAAAACTTTAAAAACGGTTTTTCCAGATGTCTCAACTGTTTTGAGATAGCTTGATTAGTGCATCAAAAGTACCCAATTTTTCCTGAGACCGAATTGATATGGTGTTAGCAGATTGAATTTTTAAGTTAAAGTGGGAAATATTGAAATGAATCTAAGTTTTCCCGCTTGTGAGAGATCACTACAGTGGATTGGAGCTTCTTCAGCCAAGATAAAAACATCGTTAAGTGGAGTGCAAACTTCAATGACTAAAAAACTTGATTAGAACAGATACCAAGGCCAAGTTTGATTTTTTCATAGCTTATGGAAATCATAAGTGTCTGGACATTTTTTTGGGAAAACAGTGAATAATGTTTGATTTATTTTTTTGAATTGATTTCTCAATTGAGACCTAACTGTTGTATGGTAATGGTGAAACTTGTCACAGATATCCCCAGTAGCTTTAGACACAATGGATTGTTTTATTTGCCCGTTACTTCTGATAAAACGGCAAAGAACTGCCGGCATTAGTTTTTTGATTGTCAGTTGAAATTTTTCTGTTCTTGCGCCAACTGCTTGCAGAAGTTTTTCAACTTCTTATTTAAAAATCAGTTCTATAAAATGACAAAAAAAACAAAAAAGGAAATAATTGTAAATGATTTTGATCAATAGATTATTAAGGTCAGCAGAAAACCTCGGATTGATAGAAAAATACTAAAAAACAAACATATAACTTCACAATTTGCAAAGAATGAAAAGAAGTCAAGATATAAGACCAAAAAAGTTAATTTCAAGTAACTTTACATAACACAGCACCAGTTAACGAAAAACTATTGATGATGCAACTGATACAAGTAACTGCTATCTCTAATTATGTTTATAAGGTAACACAGAAACCTGTTTTTTAAAGAGCCGGACTGAGTTTTGGTGAGCTCATTTCGTTATATGGCTCTTTTTTCTCCCCATCCACTTCATATGATCATCATTTAAATGGTGTAATGTGTGGTTTTACAAGAATTTTTATGAAGACCAAATTTGTTTACCATGGATTAAATAATCCGCATCCGCATGTCATTTTTTATAACTCTCGGACAGTAAGAACAAAAAACAAAAATTATACCAAGAAAAGACTTGCAGGAGGAGCAAAAGTAGAAAAAAACATCTTAGCGATATCTGTCTAAAGAAGTCTTATTTACACCATATTACACACTTTTTACGCACTTTTACACAAGTATTTACACAAAAATTTGTCCAAAAATGAATTTTCATGCAAAATTGCCTTGTTTCATGCGAATTCACGTGATCTATCTGGAGATTTTCAGCATCATTTCCTAAAACTTATCTAAATCTTTTTGTTCTGAATTTCGTGACGAAAGTAATGGAATATTTGTGCTCGGGGTGGGTTCTTCAGACAAATTTCGACTTTTTAACTAGCCATTTTTGACCAAGTTTTTCTACATCATTCAAAAGCTATTGTTGCCCTGAGCTTAAAATTGAAAAAATGTTTCACCTGCAATAATTTTTTATAAAGTTATTAGGGTTTAAATATTGCCATTTTGGCCATTTTGGCCAATTTGTGACGAGTAACGCGCGATATATTTCGCGCTATTAAGGCGTAAGCGGAAAATTAATCCGTCTTAGAAATCGTTCCAAATTGGATCAAGGAAGATTATATGCCATAATTGATTTGTTAATGGGAGCAAAATCTATCATTTTCTAATTAGTATGGCGTGTGGTGGGATGTTTTCACAAAAAATCTCAAACTTTTCAGAAAAAAATTTAATTTTATTTTATTACATTTAAATTTACCATGTTATTACTGCTCCATAGACCATAAAAGGCAAACGACATATTCAGAGATTCGCCCTGATACGAGCAGTCTTGTTTAACCTATGCTTGTTACAGAAGGAGTGGCTGAAGTAGTG